GATTGAAATCTCTGTTGGCACGTCCACTTGCTTGTTGCTTGCCGCGGCTTTTACTTTCAGAAAGTTAAGGCCTAAAAGATTTTCATCATTGTTATCTGTATCATTCTGTCGGATTTCATTTATTCTGGCTGTAGCTTGGGTCGGCCGGGCTTGATAATTGTTTCTATTAGTTGACCGACGTTGGTTCATTTCTTGAAATCTACTATTTCTTGGGCAATTCCTAGCCAAATGTCTGCCCCCACAAGTGTAGCATCCCGAGTCGCTGGGCCTACGTTGATTACTGACCATCTCTTGTAGTCTTTTCACCTCCTGCTGTAGACTATCTATCTGGCTCTGCTCCTGCACCGAACACATTTTCGTTTTTGTTGTGCAGTCTCTAGCACTGAGGTATTCGTCCAGAATGTTTCTGGCCTCATCTGTGCTAACTGGGCGCTGGGCGGCAATGATACCTGCGAGGTGAGGATCTTGTAGCCCCTTGAGAAAATAGCGCAGTGCAACTGTTGCTTTTGTTGCTTGGTCAGCTGACGGGAAAGCCATGGCCGTCAGTCGTTTCACATCGGACGTATATTCAGCGGTTGTCTCCCTTGCTGACATCTTTCTATTCTCTAACTGGGTCAGATGTGTAGCGGTGCCCACCCTGGTGTCAAATCTAGCGCTCAGTGCTGCGACAAACGTTCCAAGTGTTGCTCGGTCAACTTGAGTGAGTTCAAGAAATGCAAAGTTGGCCGCACTCCCCTCCAAACAAGCTGGTAGATGCAGTAGCTGTCTATCTTCATTCCAGCTGTTAATGCGAGATATCGCTTGAAACTTGTTCCAAAACACTTGGAATGGCGCTGACCCGTCGTATTGTGGTAACGCCTGGTTCATACTTAATGGTCGCTCATCTTGTCTAGCGATTCTGAGTTCTTTAATCGTTTCTTGCAGGTTTCTTATTTGAGCCTGTAGTTCAATCTCTGCCATTTTTGTCCTCTGTATTAACTAGCCTGCTTTCAGTCTCTCTGGTTGCGTGTTAAAGATCGTTTCTTTCGCTGCCACCAAATGTAACGTTTTTCCTGCTCTCAAATGTACTGTTCTATTGTAACGTTCTTCTTCTCTTCTATTTCTCACTCTCAGTCACAGTCACAGACGATCAAGAATGAAGAATAAGCCGTCTTCTGCAAATCTTTATTTGACTATCTTTCTTGAGCGGGAATTGTCTGTGTAGCGCGCATCTAACAAGACTATAGCGCCAATACGTGTGCTGCATAAATTACTGACTAGGACCGTCGTTTCTCCATCCCCTCTAAGGCTAACGCACCGGCTTATATACCCCACCCGCGAGCGTCTCGGATGACACCTTGCTCTTGGCACGAATTCTAACGCTTACCTGTGAAAATTTCTCCCGCTTTTGTGCTAACCGACCCCAAATAACCCTATATAAAAACTTAACGCGATCTCCTAAAATTCTAATAAGCTTATCTCTGAAACCACAGACAATTCCCTTTACACTGATACAAATTACAATAAACATCAATAAATTGTTCTTCAACAATAATACTTCAAACATGCAAATATTGTAAAATTATCATCAAATACACCTAATTAAAGTAGATTTCCCTAATCTCGGCTTGCTCCTAACTAACACTAAGATATTCTAATTAAAGATCAAGCTTGGCCTAATAGTTCTTCCAATTTTCATGCTATAATAACAACTATTTATTAAGATATGAATTTTTCTTCTTGCCCTACTAAGCACAATTGACTGATTTCTAACAAATTCACTACACTATCATAGGTTGTTGGGTGTTAGTTTTTGACTATCATACGTTGTTGGGTGTTGGTTGTATTTTTGGAAAGTATTCACTGACGTCATTATGGTGTGCGTTGTGTGCGCGCACTAATTATATTATAAAGGTATTGTATGTGTAACAAAAAAAAGACCAAAGAAGAATTTTTACACAATTCATTTGTTGAGCACGTGTAAATCTTTGTTTCAAACAACAAAACAAAAGTATATGACCACCCTGGATGTCATCAATTGTCATCTAGTAAAATATATAACTAATGTGGCTGTAAAAGTTTAATTTAATCAAAAGTGCAAACACGACTAGGCCCTATAGTGAAACGCCTACAATTTACTGCAGACACATACACACACAAACAGGACCTGCCAATCAAATGTTAACATGGGGTATAAACTAACACATTTTAAAACAACTTGAAACATTTAAATGTGATATAGGCTAATTAATTAATTAACACCAATTTTCAAGCAAAAAGCTCTCGTTATAAGACACGGATGATCCACTCAACTAGAACAAACCAGATCTCGCACGGGAAAATACGACACGATCTATACTTCAGCCGGTTGTTGTTTTTAGAAAACCCGGTCAAGACCGTCACCGAGAAATGACACGGCTGCACATGTTTTTCTTTACACATTTCGTTCGGTAAAACCAGTTTAAACAGCTAGATCTACTATCGCTTGCATCTTAGTCGGTGACTGACTGGTAAATGTTTTAACTCCCCCCTCCCCCTCCCCCATTTTTTCATCATGTAAAGGATATTGAATTTATTATAAGGGACGGTGTGGCCTAGCGGTCTCAAGTTCGGATCCCGAACCTAGCCGTGCTGGTTGACCGTCTCCCATTTTAGGACTGACCACACCATACCATCAAATGGTCACAGTAAAAGTGTACTCTATTGCCACATACTGTCAGGTCCTAAAGGGTAACTTAAAATTTGAAACATGTAGATACTTATCATATTTTGCGGTTAATCGCTCCTTTACAAATGGTGTCACCCCCCCCCCCCCCCCCAGAGGCGTAGTGCGGTCCGCCCCCCCCCCTAGCTACGCCTCTGATCCCATCATACAATAGAAAACTAAAATGTGCTACAAAAATTAATAATCTCTGGGCTACTAAAGGTAGAAATTTCAAAATCACTAACATCTTATTTGGTCTGTCCAGAGCCGGCGTTAGGGGGTGGCGAACGGGGCGGTCGCCATAGGCCCCGCGCTTGAAGGGGCCCCGCGCTTCAGCAATGTCATTGTTATCTGAATTAGTCTGTAAACTTAAAAAAAAATTGTTGCTGAATTCAATTGGGAAAAACTAAATGGTCGAATGCCGACGTTGTTGATTGTTATAACTGAGGCTACGGTTGATGTTGGTGAGTCCCACCTGAACTGGGACAGGCCGTAATTCGATACAAAAATAGTGTCACGCCTTCCCTTTGTGTAGGGTACGGTCGCCTGGCTTTTGACTGGAGCTGACTGGAGATGGAGGTCGAGAATTAGCCCACGACGTAAAGAGATACCCTATTGTATGCGGACCCATGAAGACATCATGTTAGTGAGCAGACGGGATGTCTGTAGTAGACAGTTAGTGACCTGATGAACTCTAGCCCTGACTTTCTTGTTGTAGATGTGTTTCTTCCAGACTTTTTTCTCCAGGGGGAGAGGCACTTGAAATTTTCGGGGGGGGGGGGGGAGAGGGGCGGTAGATTTTCTTCGGGGGGGGGGGCACGCCCCCCCCCCCCCCCCAGAGATGCCTGGAAGAAACTCTATATGTAGGCCTAGTTGTCTTGGTATAACAAAGTTAACATTCAGTTGCGTGCAGAGGGGTGGGAGGAGGGCGACGAGGGGGGGGGGGGGGGGCCCTTAGGATCTATATCAGGCGGCATTAAACAGAGTGATTTATTATTATTTTTTGGAAGAAAGTTAAAACTGTTGTTATGTTGTGTCACCTTTAGGATTCACCCGTTCAATAATTAAGACAATAATGTTTTTGGTTTTAAAATATTGTATGAATTCTAAACAAATTTTGAAGTCTATACTGTTTTGATACATCAGGCCGAGTTCGCTGTATTGTAAACTTTATTTTCCTAATTATTCGGCACGTGATTAAATTTTCTTAAATGATTTGGTATGAATTACATAACTGTCAAAAGTGATTTAATATCTTAGCAAAGGAAAAAATAACTTCGAACATTGGGTTAATACATGGGAGAGATAAAAATCTGTTATTATAGTGGAAAGTTTGACATTAGCTTATAAACTCCAAAACATTTGTGTTATTATGTGTACATCACATTATATAGGCCTTTATACATATATATAATATATATACATATATATATATATATATATAAATATAAATATATATATATATATATATATATATATACATATATATATATATATATATATACATATATATATATACATATATATATATATATATATATATATATATATATATATATATATATATATATATATATATATATATATATAATGGAAAGGCCCCGCGCGGATGGTTGGCCCTAGGCCCCGCGTATTCCTAACGCCGGCTCTGGGTCTGTCAGTCATATTAACAAAGTTTTCCTTATTACGTACTAGATCTATAACAACAACATTTACTAAGTAGTCCATGTATTTTTAAAACTGACGTTTAACCATTAAATTATCATCACTATTCATTTTTAACAACTTATGAAATACGCTTCACCTATTTCTAAAATTCCTTTGTTATGGCTGATCATGACTTGTGTGCATGTTAAAACATTCACGTGGAGGCAACTGCTGTGTTTGTGCCGTGTACTACAGCTGCTACGGAGGTAGTCAAAGCAAGGTGTTTTCCTTGTGGCGTAAATTTAGAAAGGCATATATCGGTATATAGCTGCCGTAAGCGGCAACTAAGAAAAAATACCATGAATCACGTAACCTTCAATCAGCTGTTCAGTGCATGGCTGCCCTCAACAGACCCGAGTTCGAAAGCTATTTTTAATCGATGAAAAATGTATATTTATAATATATGTCTTCTACAATAAAAATAATTATAGTAGCTTACATTTACTAAAAATAAACATGTAATACTCATTTTAAAGATAACTTAGTGTTTAAAAAATATTATTTAGATGTTTTATTTTTGTTTTCTGGTTTTCGTAAAACCTAGAAATCCTTTCGAGCCTCCCAAGGTCGACCGAGTTGTTTTCATCTGCCAGCTGGAAGAACTGGGTGAACACGTGAACAGTGGGTGATTCCCGGGCAATATATATACAGCCCGAGTAGGGAGACCGTCAGATGAAAACTTGCCAGTGAACAGACAACGACATAAGATCTTTTACAGAAAAAGGGTGCGCATTCTTAGTTGGATTATTATACCTATTACTTAACTTGGTAAGTAAAATTTATTTGATTAAAATGTTTCTGTATTTTAAACTGTTAATATAAGTTATCTATTTTTTTGTTACAATTAAAAATTCATCATTAGTTTTGAAAACTACTTGACTACTTGATGTTCATTAAGTAATAAGTATTAAGTAATTAACATTAGAATTCAATCTGGTCTAGATCTAGTAACTACTAATAGGTCTAGATCTAGATCTAGATTTTAATGTACCTTTGAAAAACTAGATCTAGTCTACCCATTTTTAAAAAAAATTTATGACAATTTTTTGACTAAATCCACAATGGTTAGGCCTAAATTCTAAATTCTAGATCTATATCAACTATATTAATTTGTTGGCTTTTTGCGTAAGTCTACAACGTTAATAATGCTTTTGAAATGTCGGTATTTTATATGCATTTTATTTTGATCTGGACGATGGATAGACATAAGGCATTTTAGTCTAGTTCTTTGTGGAAGTAATTGGGTCAATCCACTGTGACCTCCTTAGGGGACGCAATAGCACCACGAATGTAACACGCGCTTCCTGACTGCACTGTGATGTTTTACTCTTCTCTGATTGGTCGGCTTATCTGACCTTGCATATATTAACCGTAATGCTATAGGCCCCTAAAATAGTTTAGTTTCCACAACTTTAAGTTAGAAATCTAGCAACAGTCAGCTGAACTTGTACGAGGGTTTATTAATTAATGTAAGAAAAACATCTTCATTTAAATCTAGATTTAAATCTATGATTTTATTTATGAACGAGGATTATGGAGGGATTTTTAATATCATAACTCAGCAGAGCATTCAATTTTGCAAGTTAAATCAAAATTTTAGAATTTTAGACTAGATTCTAGACCCATTTCTCTAGATCTAGAATCTAGAAGAAATCTAGATCTAGATCTAGAAGAGATCTAGATCTAGAAGAAATCTAGATCTAGAAGAAATCTAGATGTATTCTAGATTCTCTAGATCTATTCTAGATTCTCTAGATCTATTCTAGATTCTCTAGATCTATTCTAGATTATCTAGATCTAGATTCTAGATTAGAGACAAAGTAGAAAGTCTAGTCTTTGGACTTAGATCTAGAATCTAGATTAGTAAGATTAGATCTAGATTCTAGTCTAGATTTAGAGACTAGCCCTGACTTAGATTTAGATATGTAAATATTTTTGTTTTGTTAGTAGTTAAAAAAACATGAACAATTTTAAATTAAAAGTTTTTTTCTTCTTTTTCAAACAGAATCTCAACAAATAACAATGACCAAGGCAGAGCTAAACCAGAACGAGCTTCATGCTCTCAGAAGATTGGCTGGTGAGCCAATCATTCAGTCCCTGGACTACCAATCCTCATCTTCAATCATATCAACATCAAACATTGCCGAAGCTGTGTCTTCCATGCCAGTTCCAGAAACGCCCAAAGCAGGTGTTCTTGTCAAGGTAAGAACTTGAAAGATTAATAACATAGGCTTAATGAACTTGTAAAAATTATAGATTTAAAATTAGGCTTTCTATTTTTAAAGTGGTTTAAATTGAATTTTACAAGACATTTATTTGTATTTTAGCTGGCTTACGCTGGAGCCTGCTATGCAGAAGGCCGCAACAGACAGAAGAGATTTATTCCACAATACCCAGGAAATGAAGTTGCTGGAACCATTTATGAAATCGGAAATGACCTGCCAAACTGCAACTACACAGTTGGGGACAAAGTGATCATTGTTCCAGAGAATGACAACTTCAATACTGGATATGCTGAGTACATCCCAGTTGAGGACACCACACGTGTGATTCAGATTCCAAACACAGTTCCTCTTGAGGTAGCCGCAATGCTGCCAGGTGGTGCTCTTGCTGCCTATGCTGCTGTCAATTCTGCCAAGCCACATGTTGAGAAGTTGCGCAAAGTCAAAAGTAAGTATTAAGCTTAAACTATTAACGGGAACTTAGACTTAGAGCTATGAAACAGTTAAAATTAAAGTTGCATTAAAATACTTTTTCAGTTGTTTTAAATTTGTATGTTCTCATTTTCAGATTGTGTCAATGTGCTAGTAGTTGGTGGTGGAGCCTTGGCACTGTGGACCATTAAGTTGGCCAAATACTTAATGGGCCGTGAGTGCAACAATGTGAGGATCTTTGTGGCTGACAACAGCATTGAAAGATTACTGACTGCCCAGGACCATGGGTGCTTTGACATCATTCACTGGAATGAGGAAGATCATGAGCAGTACATTATTGAACGCACACTTGACTCTTGTCGGGGTGGTGTGGATGTCATTATTGATTTCTTGGGCTCAAACAGAAGCATGCAGAGGGCTCTCAAAGTTCTGAACAGAGTAAGTATCTTTGTTAGCATTATATTTTACTTTTTTTGTTTGTTTGAGTTTTGTGTTTTTTTCACTTTGATTTGTAAATGTTTATTGTTGTTGTTACTATATGAACTAGTTGCTTATGGTTGTCTTTTTTCTCTTTTTGTGTCAGGAGGGTCTTATTCTAGTTGGTGGCAACTCCACTTCAGAGACCAGCATTTCACTCAACACACTAGCAGCCAAACAACAGAGCATTGTTGGCATTCCTTCAGGCAATCTCAATCAGTTAATGGAACTCCTCAATGCAGTTGCAGATGACAAAGTAATTTGCATTTTCAAATACTTCCATCTTAATATTAAAAATTACCATTTTATTTTTAAAAAAATTGTTAGTAATCTAAAATTTATTTATATATTATATAAATATTTTAAATGTTTCTGTTTTTTGTCTTCTCCAGCTTGAAATTCCAGAGTTCCAAGTGTTCCCAGTTGAAAATGCCAACCAAGTGTTTGAAGACTTGAGTGAAAACAGGCTGACCAAAAGAGCCATCTTTAAATTTGGCTCACAGTCCAGCACACACTGTGTTGACAACCATTGAAAGCAATCAGTTTTTTATTAGTCAGGACTTTAGCATCATAGAAACTAATTAATCATGTAGAACTTGAGTTCTTGTTCCAAGTATTCCTCATTCTTGGACCTTTCATCAACTGTGATGCAGCTTAGCTGTGTAGTTTTGGATAAAGGTTATTTTAAAATTATCATGTACGTGGTGACCACCTATCCTAGGTGTGGTCTGACATGATGGACGCTGACCATCTTTCATGAGAGGAGAAGCAGATGTGAATTTGTCAACAAAATATGTTACACTAAGGGACATTAAGGCACACATTATAAGATTGTTTATAAGATTTATGAAAATGACTGAAAATAATGGCTGTTCCATATTGTTTCATGTCCAATGTTTTGAATTTTTGTACAAAATTTGAATGATCAATGAGCCACTATCAAAATACTCAGTAAACAATTTGTGGAACATTATCGTGTGTTAGACCAGCCAACTCTCAATTAAAGCAATAATCATTTTTACCAGTTAGACTTTGGGTACTTGAACAAAAGTTTTCTACAGTAAGAATTTGTGGCACAATTGTTAGCCTCTTTAAGAGATTTAAATTGGATTCATTAACAAATAAGCTGTGATGATGTGATAGGCAGTGCTTGTGTTATCTGAATCTTTGTAATTGACCAACCCAATAGTTTGAGGAGTGAAGTTAGATAAAACAGGCACAGCTGGTTACATAATTTTTAAGTATGCAAGTTATTTGATATTTTGTATCTTGGATGGCATTATGAAAAATGGCAATGTTGCTTGTGTGAATGTTTCATTTAAAGATTTCGAGTGCTCATTTTGGTGCTATGTGATGCATGTGTTGATGTTTAGCGTGTAGAAATTGCAAAACAAAATGTCTACAAAAATTTTTCACATTGTTTATTTTCATAAAATATGCATTTGTAGAATATAATGAAAATGACTAGCTAAGTACATGTTGAATAAACTGATCTTTCATTGAAAAGTGAAACACTTTTTTTGTTAATTATCTGTATGGTTAAAATTATCTGTATGGTTAAAGTTTGTGGACTAAATGTGTCGTAGAGTCAGTCTTAAGAAAAAGAAAAATAGAATTTATAAAGTTATTGAGATTTGATGAGCTGAACCATGAGTCAGTTTTATGGATGAATCAAGTTATTTCTTGGTCTTGTTTGAAACCAACAAAATTTGAGATTAAACAAGGAGCAACCATTTTGAGCATTGTACAGCACAGCTATCCATTGAATAAAAAATACTACATGTGTATCTATGGAAGCAGCATATACGGAAGGTCAACAAAATGACTGGGTCCAGAGTACACTTGGGTCATTTCATTGCGTTCTAAACATAGACACCCTCTCAACTGGCTTAGTGGAGCAGTAAGCGAGCAGTATAGTTAACAGTTACTTATAGATGTAACTAGGTTAGACTAATGGGGTTTTTGCTTTCTGTTCATATACTCGTAGGCGCACTGAGTTTTTTGTTTCAAATGTATTCTTTTTAAACAAAAGTCAATCTGATTGTTATAAAAGAATGTAGTCGTAAAGGACCTGCCAACCAGTGCACGCCATAGGCAATACATCTAGTACGTGTATTGGAAATACATATCTGACAAAATATTACGTGTCAGGTTTACTCAGCAGTTGTGCAGACTGGATTAAACACTTGGATACAACTTTTATTAAACAAAAGACTAATAGTTTTAATTTATTTACTCCGGGCTCAGCCCTCCCTAATTTCTCAAGGCAACGCCACGACCTAACACAACTGAAGACACAGGTGGCGCTGTTCCCAGGGTCATGTCCGGTCAGTAAATCTCAGTTTATGGGCTAATGATTCCCCGATAAGGACAAGCTGAGCACAAGGTCGTCTGTTTGTTTGCCGAAATGTCCGTTACATTATTTTATTGCATTACTAATGGCTGATGGTGATTTAGGCTTAGTGCTTTTTGCTTTCAGTTCACCAATGAGCACAGGCCCTAACAGTGGTTTAAAAAATAAATTAACCTTCTTTTTTTTTCTTTTTCTTGTGTAGAAAATTTGCAATTTTCCTGACTTTTCATGACAACCTAGCATTTAAATACCTGGTGGTTTTAAAAATTGTGGTTTGCAAATTATGGCTTGACTAGCAGTGTAAGACAGCTACGTATTGATGGTGGTGTGTATGTGCACTGTGGTCGCCGCCAAATTGGAATTTTTTCTTTCTTTGATAAGCTATTGAATGAAACTGTTCCTTTCTAACTATTCATTGAGCTGGGTCAAAATAAGGTCAAATTATCCATTTTTTTCTTGTTTTCTAAAAAAAAAAAGCCTTTAAAATGCTACTTACTGATGCAGTTTACTTTTTAAAATTACATTTTGACGTTTCATTTTTAGCGCAATTTCCATACTGGACAATTGCGATTATTAACTCGTCATTTCTGGTGATGGATGGATGTGTGTCCGCAGCTTTAAGTCGTTAAGTCGTATCTCCTCCTCAACGAAGCAATATCGAGGACTAGTTCCAAAAGCAAATATGTTAAGCAAGTTCCGAGGATGAACATAGGCCAAAAAAAAATTCCCGGAATTCCTTCCTGGATTTCCCGGAAAAGCAAAAAAAAAAAAAAAACTCGAAAAAATGCAGTTTTTGCTCCATATCTCGGCAACCAGACCACTTAGCGACTTGAAACATTTACCAATCGATTCCTGCCATAATTTAGAAGAATATTGCCGAAGAAAGTTTTTAAAAATATCCTTTCGTTCGGTCACAAAAAATTAATTAAGAATTTTTAAACTGAGCATCGTGTAGGCCTAGGATGATATTTTTAATTTAAACTGAGCATCGTGTAGGCCTACTCGTTAAAATAAAACTAAGTTTATTTTTTACTTATTAATTTTTTGAATTATTAAAACTACTTGTGTTGCATTATTTATTTGCTGAATATATGATTTATCTCGATTTAAAATTGTTATGGATAACATAAGGAAATTGCGCTTAAATTGTCACTAGACTTTTCAAAAGTAGCCCATACCATTATACTAGACATATCAGTCAACAATCTTCACCAAATAACTGCATATGAAAATATTTGTTCAACTGTGACATTTGGACAGCTCTATCTGTAAAGCTTGTATGTAAGTAGTGACCTAGGGAAGTTCGGAAATGCTTAACTCAGTGGTTCTTAACCTAGGTTCGATCGAGCCCCAGGGGTTCGGTGGGTCAGTCTCAGGGGTTTGGCGGAGGACAAGGCACACACCCAACTCGTGTGATTCATGATCGGATTATGTCAGCGCGGACGATAAAACTATTAAGGAGGATTCGGTGAATGCGCATATGAAACTGGTGGGCAGTGTTTCTTCCAGGCATCTCATCGGGGGGGGGGGGGGGGGGGGGGCACCGCCCCCCACCCCCGAACGAAATGGAATTTATATGGAAAATATATACTTTTGACAGTGTGCCCCCCCCCCCCCGAAAATTTCAAGTGCCCCCCCCCCCCCCCCGGAGAAAAAAGTGTGGAAGAAACACTGCTGGTGGGTACTCACAAAAAAAAGGCTAAGAACCACTGGTTTTAAACTAACTCAACGCAAAGATGACTTATTATACACTTATGTGAGACATTATTAAATACAACATATAGATAGTAACTCAGTATACATTAAAATAAACAGATCAATTGTGCTCTAATTGTTTTAATTAGCCAGGCCTCGTAGGTCATTTCGTAATTAAATAAAACATTGTTTTTATTTCAAAGTTGACCTTAATTTCACCCAGACGAAAGCTAGCCGACTAGTGCAAGGGGGACAACTGTTCATCACTGCTGTAACCTTGGAATTTATATTATGGTAGCTAGGTAGGCCTAGACCATATTCCTGCCCGGAAAGTATGCGCGCGCATTGTTTGTCACTTCTGCAGTGGGGTTATGTTACGGTCACCCTAAAATTAGGTGCATTCAAGAATAGAAAGTTGGTTAATCTCAAAGAAATTAACAAGAAGCAAGAGCTCTAAAAGAAAAGCAAGCTACCAACTAGTGGCGCCCTAAAACTAGAACGCCTTAGTACGCAAAAGCAGTGAACTTGGTGTATCGATTGTGTAAAATTTAAAGTAACACCATTTGTGATCACACTCACATATTTTCAAAATAAATATGAGCAACAAATGTCAACATTTCTGTTTGATCACAAAAATGTTTTTACATTAAAACCTCTGTGAAGTTGTGTAGACGCCATAGAACTCGTTTATCAACTTTCGTAACCCACTTTTTCGGCCATCTTTGATTGTCGCCGCGTTTAAAAATGTAGGTTAACAACGTCGACCGGCTTGTTTTAGTCGATGGTTTTTTCTTTCTTTTAAAGCTTTTTGTTTAATTTTGCGTGTCAACATTTTAATTAATGATTGGTTTCAATCACCCAGCTTGCTTAATTATCATATAAACAAAATAAATAATGATGGATAATTAGAAAGCTTAGATTATAAACTTTTTAATTATCCATCATTATTTATTTTGGTTATATTTTGCTTATATTAAATAACCCAACTACAGCTTCATGCTGATCATACAAAAATGAAATCCACTACTTTCGGTTCTTAGGGTCAGTATGGCAGATGGTGTTCACCTGTTTCAGTGACCTCCGCACACGAAGGAATTGTTTAGTTATAATTATATGCCCAGCAATACTTATCGGATGTGCATCATACTTTAAAATAATCTAAAGTATGGTTGTAGAAATCAAATTTATTCAGTACCGAACGACGACGAGTTGGGGGTCATCCATTTATGACGTCCACAATTTTTTGGCATTTTGGACCCCCCCCCCCCCCCTTCCACAAAAATCCACTTTATTCCCTTATAAAAGTCCACACGCGTCAGCAAAAGTCAAATTTTTTCGGACCCCGGCTCCGTGTGAACGTCATAAATGGATGACCCCCCTTACATTTGTACAGTTTCTTCCAGGCATCTCTTCAAATGGCCCCCGAAAAAAGTCTACCACCCCCCCCCCAAACAAAATGGAATTTATATAGAACATATATACTTTTACTAGTGTCTGCCCCCCCCCCCCCCCCGGAAAATTTAGTCCGCCCCCCAGTGTTTCTTCCAGACTTTTTTCTCCGGGGGGGGGGGGGCACTTGAAATCTTCGGGGGGGGGGGGGGGGGGGGGCGGTAAACTTTCTTGGGGGGGGGGGGGGGCGGACACTTTTAAAAGTATATATTTTCTATATAAATTATGTAAATTTCATTTCGTTCGGGGGGGGGGGGGGGGGAGCGGTAAAAATTTTTCGCCCCCCCGAAGAGATGCCTGAAAGAAACTCTGCCGCCCCCTCCGAAAATAATATCAACTCATTGAGTTTATATTAAAAAAATTGTCTGGGGATTTTTGTGTGTAGTCGGATGTCAAGGCAGGAAACCCTGAAACCACTTCCGTGGCGCAAATTTGAAGGGTTTCTGTTTGATCGTCTGACGCAACCATTTTGTACGCATTGACTTTCATAGATGATCACTGTGATCCACAGAACTGTCTGAAACTTGGGCTACCAGCTACACTATCTGACAGTTGAAAGGTGTTACCCTGCAGACTGTCTGAAATTAGGGCTACCAGCTATACCATCCCACCATCTGACAGATGCTTACAGGGCATGTAAAATGACGTCACAATGTCTAAAAATTCAATGGTGCACCCGACTCCCAAGTATGACACGTTTAGTTCTCGTTTTATTGTATGATATCGTAATAGATTTTTAATGCATGATACAAATATTTATATCTTAATATTTCCAACAAAACCACATCTCATACCTTCGTCTCACACATATGAACCTTAACCCTAACCTATATCGTTTAATTTAATCCGTGTTAAACGATGACGAAGAAGATCAAAGTGTTCATCCAAATGCTGTTCATTGGTTAGACAGCTGCAGTATTACGGTTTATATTTTGCTACTCATTAAAATGAGTGTTTGATTACAATCTCGACCAGAGGCAATTGATCTACATACCAGATCAAAAGATCCAATGGACTGAACTTAGCCTACTCAGATAGGCCTACAGTAAAGAGTAACTTGATCCGGCTACATTAAGACCGGGTTAAATGTATCCATTTCTTAATTATTAGGCGTATTAGTCAATAAGTTATACTGGGCTTAGGAAAATGAAATATTTATGAAACTTCTAACGCTTTATATAAATTGCGTAACTCACCATAACGTTAAATGTAACTTATGTTAAAATATTACAATCACACAATTAATGAGACACACAACTTTGTACTGGTCATTCTCAAACAAGGAAATACGTACAAAAATACCACCATTCACTAAGTGTGACTTATTCTATACAGGACAAAGGAAAACTTTGTCTGACAAAGTGACATTTTGTAAAAGTTAAGTATGTACTAGACAACAATGCACACATTGTGAGATAACTAAACACTAATTTATTTGAAAGACCTTGAAAAGGACTTCATTTCAAGGATGTTTAAAAAAGTAATAGATAGAATTTAAAAAAATACCTGCCCTACTTTTTAGACACGCTAAACATGTTGTTTTTCAACCCACTCTGTTACGTCTGACCGAATTAAACATGTGCTTGGTCCAGGTCCATGTCATCGACAAGAGGGGTGACAGGCTGTATGACTCATTAGTTTGTAGCCTAGAATTCCCTATACGACTTGTTTAACTATATTACGCATGCGTATCGGTTTTATTATGGTTACCTACTTGGCGTAGAGTTCTCGTCAACATGTGTTGTTGTTTACATGTTAACGGCATGTTTTGTTGCTACTTATGCAATAAATTGACGTGTAACGATTGGCAGTACTAATTAGCAAATTTTTCAAGAACATTGAATGTAAACAAAACAAACATAACCTAGATGGTGTTGACACAATCTATTTTTAGAGAACACGCGACTACCTTCTTTTGCCGCCACATCCCTTGTCTGCAAAATGAGAACACATTAAAAACCTCCTAAAATAAGTATCCTGGGATGAGAGGGAAGTCTATGACTCTCTAAGGTAGCACTATAAATAAAGGTGAGAATGTAGAAATATAGGCCTACCCCCCCCCCCCCCCCCCCCCCCAATAAACTTGAAGAAAAATTATATCAACTGTTTTATTACTATAAAAATCACAATCAGATATATATCTAGACCCCACGATACTTGATGTATTCTTAATCTTTAGTCATGTTGGCTACTAAACTTCACCACCTTTTTTACTTTCTCGTATATACGAAGTATAGAGAAAGTTTTGTAATCGTGCAAAAAAAAAAAATCGAGATTTTTACAAATCTCGATGTTTTACGCCTCACTAATACGGAAAAACATAATTTTGCAATCTTGTCCGTATGTCTGTGTGTCTGTCTGTCTGTCCGTGTGTAAACACGATAACTTGAGTACCGTTACAGCTAGGTTGATGAAATTTCATTTATAAGTATTTTATCAAAATCGTAGATCCGTATCAACGTTTGAGCGATTTCCGATAACCGGAAGTGGTACTTTTCCTACTTTGAATTTTTCAAAAGCCTATAAGATAAAAAAGATATAAAAGCCATATAGATAAATGAAATTTCACATGTAAGTAAAACATCTAATTAGTAATTCACATCTAAGTAAAACACCTTCTGTTAAATTTTGAGTAATTTCCGTTGACTGGAAGTAGTACTTAACGCTACTTCCGATTTCTCAAAAAACTAATGTAAATTTTAAAAGTACTAATAATATTGCGCACTATTATGCGCTTTTTTATTTGGCGTTCACTTGGTGTGCAATTAATTTGTCTACGAGATTTTATTCTATTTTTAAAACTTTAAGTATTTAAAATGGATTAAAAATCATGTCTATAGCCCGAGTTCCCATCCCCTGTTATTTTATACTAGCTGCATCCCGTGCTCCGCCACGGTAAATCTTTTTTAAATGTACCAACTTGGGAACAGGACAAAACTAAACACAACACAAACGAACGCAAAAAAAAAAAACACAAACGAAAAAACAAACACAACACTCATAACATAAACACAATTTAAATGCAATCATAAAGGCATATTGCTCACAGTCTAGCCCGTAGCGCCAAATCGCGCCCTTTCCGGTGATTTGCACCCCCCTCAAACTTTTGATTTGCACCCCTGTCCCCCCCCCCCCCCCCGCCCTAAAACTTTCGATTTCCAACCCCCCCCCCTCGCAAATTTTTTCCAACCCACTTTGGCGCCCCCTAAGGTTGGCACCCGGGGACATATGCCCCCCCCCCCCCCCCTCGCTACGCCTCTCCTATAAAAACCCCTAGCTTGTCCGCAAACCGAAAGATAGAATAATAATTAGTAAACAGTATAAATAATAGGCAGTATTTAAAATATCCGTGTTTTACCTACAATATTTCACTTTATCCATTCACGCATTTTTTTTCCAGTACTTTAAATTTTAAAAATTTACAATAGAGTTTCATAACTAAAACCATTGCGCACCGAATGAACGTGATGACGCGTCTATAATAGTGCTGAATAGTTGATTAAAAATTATAAGTAATAAACAGTAGGGCCTACATTCAGTGAATAAAATAAATAAAAGATTGCCTTTTATCAATCCATGCTAATTATAATTTTCTAACAATAATTTCCTCTTACACATCCACATAATTTGCATTCACATTTTGCTAATTATATTATTGCAACACTAATTCCTTCTATGACGAACGTATATTTGCAGTCACATTTTTTATTAGCGTGAGTTTAATGTATTTTTAAATTACCTCCTTTGTCAAAATTAGAAAAGAGTTAAATTCATTTGATTTTCTAACCTACAGTTATTATGTTATTAAAATGTATCCACTTTTTCTAGGAATATTAACGAAAACTATATTTGACATTGATCCTTTTAATATGTTTTAGCAATATGCGTGTATTTAATATTCTCTTTACGTTATGCAAAATTGTACAAACAGTGGAAATTATAAAATAGCTCTATGCCGCTATATAAACAAACCCTACTCTAATTCTTATAACAAGACACTGCGGTGCACTGAAAAGCACAACATGGTGCGTAGTATACTTTTATAGTCCCAAAATCTCTAGCGATGACGGACGGACGGAAGGAATGAAGGAAGGACATACACAGCCCGCTTATATTATAGACTAGCTGCATCCCGTGCTCCGCCACGGTAAATCTTTTTTAAATGTACCAACTTGGGAATTCTTATATTACGAGAAAAATGGCCCGTTGAGGAAGGGTACAACGGGCGCTAGGCTGATAGTGCTGTCTCTTTTCTCTAAACTAAAACCAACCCACCCCCCACACACCACCCCCACCCCCACACACCACCCCCCCCCACCACCCCTACCCCCACCCCTCACCCCCACACACCACCCCCTCCACACACCGCCCCCCACCCCCCCCCCCCCCCCCCAAAAAAAAAACATGTCTACCGTCCCATTCAACGAAATATAATTATATACTTTTTTCCAGTGTCCGCCCCCTCCCAGAAAATTCTATCCCCGCCCCCAAAAATTTCAAGTACCCCCCACCCCTCTCCGGGGAGGAAAAAGTCTGAAAGAAACACTGAAACCAACCCACCCCCCCATGTCTACCGTCCCATTGCAAGAAAACCACTTTTTAGATTAGACACATTAATTAGGCGGTAATTTTATTATAGAGTATCGATGAGGAAATTTCTTTTGAGTTGGGGAGGGGGAGGGGCTCAGACGTTCTTACGCGGGGGGTGGGGCTTCGCCCCTACCCGAAGAATTGTATGCAAGAAACTCTTCACGCAAACCACTTAGATTAGACAACATTTCCTCTTTATTCAATATTTACGCCAGAATCAATGACGTCATTATATTACTGTGAGATTATTTTCTACTCTGTGCGCTAAATGTGTCGACGTCATACTTCGTTTTTCGAATTACTATGCATGTTTTTAAATTGCTTGTCTTTTCTCTAGAGCGTTCTTGTCAGACAGATAGATAGATAGATAGATAGATAGATAGACAGACAGCGAAACTATTATTATAGACGAGAAAAATGGCCCGTTGAGGAAGGATACACCGGGCGCTAGGTTGATAGTGCTGTCTCTTTTCTCTAAACTAAAACCAACCCACCCCCCCCCCCACACACACCACCCCCACCCCCTCCCACCCCACCCCCCACCCCCACCCACTTCCGCCCCACCCCACCCCCAAAAAAAAAAACATGTCTACCGTCCCATTCAACGAAATATAATTATATACTTTTTCCAGTGTCCGCCCCCTCCCCGAAAATTCTACCCCCGCCTCCGAAAATTTCAAGTACCCCCACCCCTCTCCGGGGAGGAAAAAGTCTGAAAGAAACACTGGTGTCGCGCTTAGCCACTACCCGAAGAATTGCATTAAAAAAATTGCAAGAAAACCACTTTTTAGATTAGACACATTAATTAGGCGGTAATTTTATTATAGAGTATCGATTACGACATTTCTTTTGCGTTGGGGAGGGGGGGGGGGGGCTCAGACGTTCTTACGCGGGGGGTGGGGCTTCGCCCCTACCCGAAGAATTGTATGCAAGAAACTCTTCACGCAAACCATTTAGATTAGACAACATTTCCTTTTTATTATTCAATGTTTACGCGAGAATCAATGACGTCATATTACTGTGTGCACTCTCTGGTTTGAGATTATTTTCTACTCTATGCTAAATGTGACCGCGTCATACTTCGTTTTTCGAATTACTGTGCATGTTTTTATTTTGCTTGTGTTTTCTCTACAGCGTTCTTGTCAGATAGATAGATAGATAGATAGAGAGACAGCGAAACTATTAGTATTAACGAGAAAAATGGCCCGTTGAGGAAGGGTACAACGGGCGCTAGGCTGATAGTGCTGTCTCTTTTCTCTAAACTAAAACCAACCCACCCCCCCCACACACCACCCCCCACCCCCACACACCACCCCCACACACCACCCCCACCCCCCCCCCCCCACACCACCCCCCACACACCGCCCCCACCCCCACCCCACCCCCCCACACACCGCCCCCACCCCCCCCACACACCGCCCCCACCCCCACCCAACCCCCCCCCACCCCCACCCCCCCCACCCCGACAAAAAAAATGTCTACAGCTGATAGTGCTGTCTCTTTTCTCTAAACTAAAACCAACCCACCCCCCAACACACCACCCACCACCCCCACACACCACCCCCACACACCACCCCCACCCCCCCACACACACCACCCCCCCCCACACACACCGCCCCCACCCCCCCCCCCCCACACACCACCCCCACCCCCCCACACACACCACCCCCACCCCCACCCCCCCCCCCCCCCCCCCACCCCCAAAAAAAAACATGTCTACCGTCCCATTCAGCGAAATATAATTATATACTTTTTCCAGTGTCCGCCCCCTCCCCGAAAATTCTACCCCCGCCCCCGAAAATTTCAAGTACCCCACCCCTCTCCGGGGAGGAAAAAGTCTGAAAGAAACACTGGTGTCGCGCTTAGCCACTACGCGAAGATTTGCATTAAAGACATTGCGAGAAAACCACTTTTTAGATTAGACACATTAATTAGGCGGTAATTTTATTATAGAGTATCGATGAAGAAATTTCTTTTGCGTTGGGGAGGGGGGGGGGGCGGGGGGCGGGGGGCTCAGACGTTCTTACGCGGGGGGTGGGGCTTCGTCCCTACCCGAAGAATTGTATGCAAGAAACTCTTCACGCAAACCATTTAGATTAGACAACATTTCCTTTTAATTCAATGTTTACGCGAGAATCAATGACGTCATATTACTGTGTGCACTCTCTGGTTTGAGATTATTTTCTACTCTATGCTAAATGTGACCGCGTCATACTTCGTTTTTCGAATTACTGTGCATGTTTTTATTTTGCTTGTGTTTTCTCTACAGCGTTCTTGTCAGATAGATAGATAGATAGATAGAGAGACAGCGAAACTATTAGTATTAATAGATAAGAATATTCGAGAAAGTTTAGGGGAGATCACTCCCGGTTTATTTTATTGACGATGATAATAATAAGCCTTTGTTAATCCCTAATGGGCATTTTTCTTTTTCTAGTAAACTGGATAATGAAAACCCTTTCCATTTTCACCTAAAAAATAATTTTAAAAATAATGGTTAAAATAAATTGTTAGCCTCCCGCCTACTCGTTAAAGAATCCATGGTTTGTTTTGGTGCGCATGGCAACCGTCACTTTTCTGACGTCAGCACAGCCATCAAGTGTGCTGCAAAGGCTTATGGGATGTCTTGGAATGTCTGGGATATCGTCCGAGTTTTGTTTATACACGTCCACATTTTTTTTTGTAAACATTTTAAAATATAAAATAAACTCGTTATTTTTTTTAGAAGACGACAGGTTTTTAAAAATAACAACCTGCAAAGTTTGATAAGTTGACTGTTACATTATTTACGTAATCTTGTTGACTGTTTTTCTGCCCGGAGGCGTATGTTTATTTAACTTTGTGTACACTCAGTACGACTCTTACCATACATCAGTGGTGTAGCGAGGTCGGGTGTCACCCGGTGCGGCACTTAATGGTGCCAACCCCCAAAGGCGTAGCGACCCTTCCCGGGGACAAACTTTCAATTTGCACCCCCCCCCCTCAAATTTTTCTCTATATATTTTGCTATTTTTTGCCTTGGTGTCACTTCCCTAAATGGTGTCACCCGGTGCGGTCCGCACCCCCTCTCTACGCCTCTGCCATACATCCTACAATTTCTTTCATATGGATCTTTCACAAATGACGCCACAAGATTTAATTAACCGATTTATTTACTTCTTTCCCCCTATCGTCTCATGGCAACAGACCCCCCCCCCCCCTCCCCACCTAGAATAATTTTAAAAATACACACTGTCGCTAAAAAAATAAACACGATAAAATATGTGTTATTTTTGACAAATACAGACGTATGCTACTTCAGATTTCATTTACTGCCACCCTCCCACACCACGACGCCCATCATCGGTAAAGTTTGAATCCTCTCTTCCCCCCCCCCCCCCCCCCCCCACAATAGACGTGAGGCTTCTTGAAGGAGACTGAGTAAGTGTGTAGAGGGGTTTTCGTCTGGTACATTTAGTTAAGCTCTAGGCCTACAGTTAGGAGCTAATAGTAAAACGTGTCGAGATCTTACGTAGTCCTAGTAGTAGGTGAAGTAGAGCAGTCGATGTTTTTGAAGAGAGTGATCGACCGCTACATTACACCGTTAACCCAACGTCATTCAGACTACTGGATGGACCAAGAGACGTCATTCGGACTCTATAAAGAAATTAAACGTTAAAACGCAATTGTAACCAATTGACAATAGGTTATCAATAACAAATTAGCCAGTCTGCTATTACTGACGATTAAAAAACGTCATGAGAGTGGGGCAGTAGAATGCTAAAAATAGCAACATTACATCATGATATGATGTCTGACTGGCCAAAATGAATGTAAAAAAATATGTTTGTATCTGGATGAGCAGGTTGTCTTGACCTCACCTAAAGATAACCGAACTAGGCCTTAGAATAACATCCGTTCAAAATCTGTGTTGGAATTAAGATAGCGTAAAAAAAATCGGTTTAAAAAATGGTGTCTGCGGATCAATTTCGTGAAATTTCGAAATTTTAGATTTAATAAATATCTGCACATTGCAATTTTTTGAAAATAAATTCAGTGCAAATTTTTTTTTATACCATTTGTTTTAATGGATATGCATATAATATCGTTAGTCTGGCTCAAAGTATAATCAATGCTTAAATATGCTTATATGCGATTTAGCATGAGTATTTCGAATCATATTATTTTCTCTGTCAGTGTTTGATTACTTTAGGTGAGAAAATCATGACGTTACTGGAAGAATGCCATCCCCTGAAGGCTCACAAACTCAAGAACTTTTATCAGGAATGACGCACGAAGAAAATAAATAAAAGAAGAGCGAAGAAACACATTGAGACGCTCATTCGGGAAACTGCATCAAACTAGATAATGATAGTTTTATCGTTAGAACCCAAATATACATCTAGGTCTATAGGCCTACCTTTTTCAATAACCTAATTTATTTTGACTATAAGAACTTATCTTGTGATGATAATGTATGTCTATTGTTTGTGTATATGTGTTAACTGTTATCATATGCCACAACACGGTTTGACCCGCCATTAATATGGCCCAAAGTTTGACAGGCCACCGAAACCTCGTCTATGGCCCAGTCTGACAACTCTGGCCACAACCGCCACTTAGACTAGACTAACAGTTTCCGAAAAGGGAAACGCCCCCCCCCCCCCCTCCCCCCAATTGGGGAGGGGCTAGTGGCACAAACAGACTAATTGTAGGTCGCGAAGATATTTATTTTAAGCAAAATGGGAATCACTTTAACCCCATTGTATTGTGAAGTGCAATAAATATTTTTAGCGAATGTGATACAAATGGTTTGAACTTAAATTTGAGATTTTTTCCTCTTGAAAAAAAATAATTAAGATTCTGATTTTGATGACAGCGATAACTTTGTTGTAAAGAAATGTTTATTCTGTAAAGATTTAAAAAAATTAAGCATTTTGAATAAATCCCTGCCTTCACCACATATGTATCTGTTAGTCGAAAACGACAGTCAGATCACTCACATACAATTGAAAGCTATGGAAAGTAAACATGCCCATAAATATAAATGCCCCTAGTTGCAGAAGATCTCAAACAGTTCATGACGTTGGCGTAAGGACACAATTCATTGCTGTATGAACCAAGAGATGTGCTTGAATCTTTAGCCTTCTTGAGAATGAGTATCATTCTCTGTTCAAACACCTTTTGCTGATGTTAGAAACTTCATGTTTATGAAAAAAAAAAATTGCCTCTGCTGTAATTTTAAATTGAAAAATTCAGCCCGAGTACCAGTAAAAGATAATTAAAAAAAAATAATAATTAAAAATAAAAAGAACTTCGGGTAGAATTCTTTTAGATACACAAACAATATTTAGATCTACACACTTTTTGAAATGAAAACAAAAAAAAAAACACATCTATTGATATATATTTATAGGCCCACTCTTATATTAGAGACATTGTTTCTTTCAGACATTTTTCTCCGGGGGAGGGGAGGGGGTAGACATACTTCGATGAGATGTCTAAAAGAGATACTGATAAAAGGGGGGGGGGGGTCGGTTTAGGGACTTTGTAAGCGCCAAGATTTCTTTTAAATGGATGTTTTTTTTTAAAACTACTTCGCCCGAAACCTAACCAGACTTCCATTGTGTGACAGGTTTGCTAGCTTGCGCGCGCCATTCGGGTTTATCGTCTGCTATTGTTAAGCTTGGAAGCCTGCCCGACTTCTAGTGAGCAGATCTAGCTGAGGTATCCGCTCGCCAAAATTTTTGCTACTTCTGGCTGACCTAGTTCAGATAACGTCTGCTTTGTAAAGGTTAGAACTAGTGCGTGGAAGTTATCGTTTAACCGACATAGATAAGGGCAGTGGGGCCCAGGTACTTATCTTGTACCCAAATTCTGCTTTTTTTTTTTTTACAACAGTTTGATGGATTTTTATTTGGGTTGTCGTCATTATAAAAAACACACCAAAACATCTCTTCTACCGCCCCCCCCCCCCCCAACGAAATAAAATTTATATAGAAAATATATACTTTAAACAGTGTCTGCCCCCCCTCCAATCCGGAAAATTTAGCCCCCCCCCCGAGAAAAAAAATCTGAAAGAAACACTGACAACTATATAAAAAAAAGTCATTGCAAGCAAAGGCTACAATTATCTTAGGCCTACTGTATGGTGTACAATGACCTAGGCGTACTGTATGGTATACAATGATCTTAGGCCTAATGTATGGTATACAATGATCTTAGGCCTAATGTATGGTATACAATGATCTTAGGCCTAATGTATGGTATACAATAATCTTAGGCCTAATGTATGGTATACAATAATCTTAGGCCTACTGTATGGTGTACAATGACCTAGGCGTACTGTATGGTAACAGCGGCGTATCTAGGTTTTCGTTGTAGGGGGAGCGAAAAGAGCAATAAAAGGCGCCGAATTTTTAACACGTTATATATATATATATATATATATATATATATATATATATATATATATATATATATATATATATATATATATATATATATATATATATATATATATATATATATATATATATATATAATTACTAACTGTATGTCATTACTTCGCTATGATGTAAAATAAATTGAAAGTAGCACTCTAAAGAAATAAGAAAAAACACACAATGTAGGCCGACAAAACAAAAATTTTATCAATCTAAACAAAAAATATATACACACACACACACTACAACCAAAAACAACTTCATTCACCACTGTCCGTTCACTTTAGGTCAATTCCAACCCAGTGTATACTTAGGTGTGACATTAATGTCGCTCTACACCAGGGGTTCCCAACCCCGTGACCGCGGGCGCCATGGCGCCCCCCGAACGATTTGTATGTGCCCGCCTCTCACTATTCGACAGAGATAGAATTTTTTTCATAAACATTATTAAAAGGTTGAAGGGGATGGAAATCGAAAGTTTGAGGGGGGTGCAAATCGAAAGTTTGAGGGGGAGGGGGGTGGAAATCGAAAGTTTGAGGGGGGGGGGGGGTGCTAATCGAAAGTTTGAGGGGGGGGGGTGCAAATCTAAAGTTTTGTCCCCGGGTGACGGGAAGGGTCGCTACGCCTCTGGAAGGAGTTTGTCGATTTAAAATAGGTGGTGCCCACCACCCTACCGATATTTTAGAATGTGCTCTAGAGGAAAAAAAGAGGTCGGGAACACCTGCTCTACACAATTGTTGTGGTGAGGTGTGGGGGGGGGGGAGATAACCAACTCAGAGTGAACATAGCTTCAGTTTTTAGATGACTATTCTAAACATACATATATATTACACAAATATATATTACACAAATATATATTACACAAATAGATTTAAATAAGTAGCAGTGGTAATATGACAATATTTTTTTTTTACAGAGGGGTCCATGGGGGAGGGGGTTGTAACTGTTTCATATAATTTGTAATCGTAATGACGTTGTTGACCTTGTCAAAATTTCCCCACCACTACGCAGTTTGCTCATAAGTAAATTTAAATTTAGGTGCCACATCAGTTGTATTTGTTTCTGTATTGTAATATTTTAAAAATTAATCACACGATTCAAACTGTATATATAAAGTAATTATGTGTGAAGTTTTATGTATAACATTTTCTAACTCAATTATTCGTAAGCATATACATTATACAGTTGCCATAAACTTAACACCCCTCTTGCCAAGTGGTACTACCCGTAGAGGTTTTTTAAACATTGCAATGCATCATAATGGTTACTTTTAGAATGGCAAACTGATGCAGCTGTTAATACGTGTTGTAAACGTAGACACTACTACAATAATGCTTAATTGCTGCATGAAAAGTAATCTTGTGATTTACATAGATGTGCCGACCAAAAATATTTTTTTTAACAAATATCATTGTTTAAAACTTTGAGTTTAAAAAGTTTCCAAAAAGGCGCCACTTTGCTGAAAATGGCCAGAGGGGGAGCGGCCGCTCCCCCTGCTCCACCCCTGCGTACGCTACTGTATGGTATACAATGATCTTAGGCCTAATGTATGGTATACAATGATCTTAGGCCTAATGTATGGTATACAATAATCTTAGGCCTACTGTATGGTGTACAATGACCTAGGCGTACTGTATGGTATACAATGATCTTAGGCCTAATGTATGGTATACAATAATCTTAGGCCTACTGTATGGTGTACAATGACCTAGGCGTACTGTATGGTATACAATGATATTAGGCCTAATGTATGGTATACAATGATCTTAGGCCTAATATATGGTATACAATGATCTTAGGCATACTGTATGGTATACAATAACATTAGGCCTACTGTATAGTATACAATGCCGCCCACTTGCGTCTCGGCGAGGACGAGAATTGACGCCTCTAAATATAACCTACACAGCTGAGCTAAAGTAAAACAGTTTATATAAAAAAAAACATTTACGACATAAATCTTAGAATCTAACTCCACTTGGGCAAACAAACAAAGCAATAAACACAAGTTCGATCAGCTCTGGTCCAGTGACACATTTTTTTAAAAAAATGCGCATGATTTTTAACATTTCACGAAGTGGCAGCATAGTCACGTGTTAAACACTACTCACTATCTTTGGATTTACACATTTAGACTAGCATTAAACATTTATTTTCACGACAGCTATTTTTTTTTTAGTGCATGACTGCATTTAGCCAAATACAAAGTAGGCCTACATAATCTTTAGTTTAAAAAAAATAAAAATTAAGACTGATACGCTGTGACTAGACCCTTATTTTCGCTTTTTTTAAAGTCGTCTGCTCCAAAGTGTTCTTTTTAAGTGTCAACAATGTTTATCCGTATTTTAAGTTTAACAATAAAAAAAAAAACCTGGATAAAAAAATTGGATCGGTTCTTTAGGCCTGGGTAATAGCAAGGGAAGCAACTCAGTCTTTATAACAAATCCGCTGACACGTTAAGAAAAACAAGGGCAGAAGGTCATTCAAAGGTCAGGCTCGTGACTGCCCAATTAATCAAAGTAACTAACAATAAGTTACCTTAAAATTTGTGTACTTCTAGATATAACGGCTGATAGGTTAAAAAGTCTGAGAATGTGCATGAATAAACCATAGAAATCTTTAAAAATATAGACCAGAAAAGAGGATATGGGGTTTGCTTAATTGCACTATTATCATATTCATTTCATTTGAAAAAAAAACACAACATACCAATGATACTATTCTTATACATGACCCAGTGACTGACATTTATTATCCTTACACATCTTTACATTCTTGACAAAAAGAAAAATAACCCCGCCCTCCCGTTAACAAAAAATATGTATCAAATTATCATTAGGTAACAATAATAATAATACTCTGGGTATTTCAAAGGGGCATTTAAACTTTCCTACAATTTAACAGGATTAGCGCAAGCTAAACGCCCCTCACATAAAAAAAAAATATTAATTAGAAAAATAATTAACGACCAAGACCCAGCGAGCCCGCCCCCCCCCCCCCCCTTTCCAACAACTATGCAACTGTTCATTCGTAAAAGCAGTGCCTTGCCTTTCTGCGTTTAAAAAAAAAAAACCGCGAACCCACAAATTATTTAGGAGGAGACAAGAAAGCAGAAATAAGAGCCTAAAACCTTTTTGACTTTTTGTTTTTTAAAAAAATAAATAAATCCAGGAAACAAAAAATAAATACATAATCTTTGAAGCTACACGTTAGTTAAGAAGAGACAACAATGCACACACCCCCCCCAACCAAATGGCTCATTTGTTGTAATTAATTAAGCCCTAGATCCAAATAACCATTAACGAAAGCAAGCCAAACGTCTGCGACCTTTAACCTGGGCCAAGGCGTCTTTGATAAACAAAATACATATATGCACCGGAAAATGACCTACATTCTTAATCTTAACAAGATGGCTGCAATCATGCCTCCCCCCCCCCCAATCTTGCTGCAAACATTGGTAGCATTGTTGACGATTTGCCAAAAACTCCAAGATTTTATACATTGTAGACTTACTCTACTAAATAAGCATCACCCTATCCTAGACTCCATTAGTTGATTAAAATAAAAATTTACGTTTAAAAAAAACGACTAAGTTCTAATGTAAGGTGGGTGACAGAATCACACGTTATTAATTTAGTTGAAAAGTTAAATGAAAAAAAAAATTAAAAAATAATAATTGAGGCTTGACCTGTCAAGCTCCAGGTCAAGTCTAACGTCACGCGCTAGGTAAAGGGAGTTAAGCAGGAAAATAAGGAAACATGGCTGCCTTAATTAGGCTGTTGTTTTATGGTGAAGTGTAATTTGTAGTCTGAAGCGTAAGGGAAATGTGCATAGGTTTCTATGTAGACGACAAACCTGATAAGAAACAGAAGTGTCAGCTGCAAGTCCGATAAACTGACATTTTAACTATATAAATTCATTTAATGTCACTTTAGTAATCAAATAATACAGGTGGGCCAACGACTTGGGAGGGGGGGGGGGGGTGTCCATACAACCGACACTATGTATGATAATAGTTACTAATGACCACACACTCATGCATTTTAAAAAGTGATTTTTGACATTTTATTTTGTGTTAATTCTTATTGTTTCACAGGGAAATAACTCAAGTTATATAACACTGGTTCTTATGTGAAATTGAATTTTAAAAAAAAACAACAACAAAAACTACAGTAATATGCATTTATTTACAATTGTCTGTTTTATGTTTTAAATAGGTAATAAATAATAAAGTATCAAGTAGAATAGTACTTAATGAAGACATTTTCAATCACAAGTCAGTGTCCAGAAGCTGATCAAGGTCTTCATCAAACAGGTCAGCTTGAGACAATGTAAGAAATGGGGCTTGTTTGTTTACTGTTGACCGGGATAACCAGGCAGGGGCTGATGTCCTGGCTAATGAGGGGTTAATGTCTGGGGTGAAATTTGTTTTGGATGATGACGGGTTAATGTCTGGGGTGAAATTTGATTTGGATGATGAGGGGTTAATGTCTGGGGTGAAATTTGATTTGGATGATGAGGGGTTAATGTCTAGGGTGAAATTTGATTTGGATGATGAGGGGTTAATGTCTAGGGTGAAATTTGATTTGGATGATGAGGGGTTAATGTCTGGGGTGAAATTTGATTTGGATGATGAGGGGTTAATGTCTGGGGTGAAATTTGATTTGGATGATGAGGGGTTAATGTCTGGGGTGAAATTTGATTTGGATGATGAGGGGTTAATGTCTAGGGTGAAATTTGATTTGGATGATGAGGGGTTAATGTCTAGGGTGAAATTTGATTTGGATGATGAGAGGTTAATGTCTGGGGTGAAATTTGATTTGGATGATGAGGGGTTAATGTCTGGGGTGAAATTTGATTTGGATGATGAGGGGTTAATGTCTGGGGTGAAATGGGTGAAATTTGATTTGGATGATGAGGGGTTAATGTCTGGGGTGAAATTTGATTTGGATGATGAGGGGTTAATGTCTGGGGTGAAATTTGATTTGGATGATGAGGGGTTAATGTCTGGGGTGAAATTTGATTTGGATGATGAGGGGTTACTGTCTGAAGTTAAATTTGATTTGGAAAACAAAGGGTTAATGTCTGATATTGAACTTGAAGAAGAAAAAAGACCTTGACTTGAAGCTTTGGATAAAACTGTTTGCCTTTTATGGCTTTTATTGTAGGGACAAGTTATGTTGTTTGAGGTAAGTTTCAGAGATACTTGATTAAGATGAGAAGACAGTGATAAATGATCTCCCTTTGATGAATGAGATAAAGAAGGTTGAAAGTTGCTTGAACTTGTGTTATCATCAAGATAACATCCAGCTTTGGGCGAGCGAGGGGTCACACAACTATCTGAATCATCAAACTTTGTACTGACCACACCAGACTGTCCACATTCTCTGTCTTTCTTTAACCTGGTGAAAGTGAATTTCTTCTGCTGTGTGGGTGTGGTGGGATCACTCACATGGTCATGTGAGAGTTGAGATGTGAGGGACGAGAAGATGGAGGAATTCAAATGTAAACTGCTAGAATATGTCTCAGGTGTTTGTGAGGGTGAGCTGAGGATGGTACTCTGGGATAGCCGAGGGCTGTATGAGGGTTCGGAATCTCCAGTTTCATCAAGGTCAATGCTGGAATCTTTATTTAAACTCTCCAAGGAAGAGTTAGTTGTGACTTTATTGTCAGATATGGTTGAACTTCTGTTACAGTTGACTGAATCAGTTACTGTGTTTTTTAGTTTAACAAATTTGAGAAATTTGTTCACAGCTGGGGGTTGTTCTTGTTTGGGTGGGTTTTGTTGAGCACCAGCTGAAGGAAAGTATGAAGAGCTCTTCAAGGGAGAAGGTGCAGTAATTGAAACATCTAACTCTTCAGTGTCATGAAAATTTAAATCAAACACTTTTTTACCTTTGCTAACTAGAGATGTCCAGTTGCTGTGACCTTGGTCATGTGGTCTGTCAGTTGAGTGCTTGTTATCATAGGGGTTCTCAATTGAATTTTTGCAGGGTTCACTTTCAGTGCTGGTGTTCTTGGAAGGGGAGGAGGCATTGGGGTTGGTTGCAGCTGAGGCTAAACTTGATGTAGATTTTTTCTGAAATTTGAACTTTGCAAAGAATCCAGTCTTTTTGCTTTCTGGTCTTTCTTCATTGGGTTGATTTTTATTTATTACCACATTAGTTTGGTCCTTGTTTCTATTTGAAACCAAATCACATGGTCGGTTTTTAATTTCAGTGGCTATTGCTGGAGGGATGTCAGATGTGATGTTTAAATTAATCCCACAATGCCATTCAGAAGGGGAAGTTTCCAGTGTTGCTGGCCTGATTTCTTTTTTCTCTTGTTTGTTTACAACTCCGGTCAGGTCCAGCTGGTCAATGCTAGATGTTTTGTCAACAACAGCCTTAGTTGTGTCTGGCTCTGAAGATGAAGAGAAAGAAAAGTTTTTCAACTTGTTCAGTGTTGTCACTGCTACTGGTCTAGAACTTTTTCTTTCACCTTGGCAGTGAGACTGTTCTAGATCATCCTGGGAATTTTCTGCGGACTTCATAACAGAACTAGCCTCAGAACATTTAGCTTTCTTTCTTTTGTTCTCATTCACATCTGTTTCATGTTTTGAATCCTTTAAAGAATTTTTTCGTTTCTTTTGATTGCTATGTTTTACAGCTGCACTTCCATGACACTCTGATTTCAACTTTTTCTTTTCCTTCACTTCTTCATCTGATGCCCCTGACGTTCTATTATCTACATTCTTATTTTTCTTCTCTTCTATAAAGAAATCTTCATCATCACTATCTCCACTAAGAAATCCAGAAATATTACACTCTTTCTTCTTAACCTTAAATTCTCTCTTCTTCCCTTTCGGTTTAGAAATCTGTCTATCTGTCACTTTTTGTTTTGTATAGCCTTGCTTAGTGTACGCTAACTTCCCCGCCTTTTTCCTCTCCTCCTCTGTAAACAGGTTCACCTCCCCTGTGCTGACTTCCTCCCTGAGGTTCTGCCTCTGTTCCATCAACTCCTTTCTTTGTTTGATCATCGCCCTGATGTTGTTGTGGTTCACAGCTTCAGCAGACTCTATCTTTCTACCTTCATCGGAGTCACGCATCTCTGACTCTTCTCCCCCGAGATCGTCAGCTAAAACACTTGAGTCTAATAACAGGTTTAAAACAGAGTCGTCATTTTTAGAACCTCTGCCCACCTCTGGTAAAATGCTTCTCTCACCCCAACAACTATTGGCAAATAAATGACTGGCACCCTTTTTATTGTTGATGAAACTGGAGAGTGAGACTGAATTTTTCTGCAGCTTGTTGGGGTGGCTGGTACTAGTGAGAGGAAGATCTGTAGACTCATCTTCTTGGGATGATTCTGGAATCACTGAAACATCCAGAGAAGCTCCACCTCTTGTGTTGTCAGGTGTGGAATTTATGGGCGTGCTTTGTTTTCTTTCTTGAGAAATGTTGGACTCTGGGATAAAATCTGTTGTTGCAGGAGTTGATGAACTTTCTGCCACCTCAGCGCCACCTACCATACAACTTTCTCTTGCTGAAAGTTTTGCCACTTTCCCACTATTTGCCTGGCTAGTCCCATGCTGCACGCCACCATTTCCAGCAGGGCCTGATGTACTGATGTTAGTTCTCTGATGTTGAGTACTCAGCACATCTCTCCTAACCTGTGACTGTGATGGTCCTCTGGATCTCATAGCTTTTGTTTGCTGCAACTTTCTCATCTCCTCAAGTAGAAGATCTTCAAGCCCAAGTCTTTTCAGGATTAATTCAGCTGGTAATAAAAAAATTTGTAACACAGGTATTAAGGAAAAGTAACCATTCCCCCACCTAAACATTCTTAATCATAATTATCACTTAATTAAGCAATAAAAAATTCTAGTAACAAAAATAAGCAGTACAGGATTACCTTGTTGGGCATATTCAGTGTCACCATCAGCAGGGAAGGATGTGTGTAATGTATTCACACCCCCTAATAGAGCTGCGCCCTGAAAAAGATGAAACATTTTAATTTTTTTTTTGGTATCACAGGTATAGTTTTATGTGAATGTAAATATCCTGTGGTTTTTAAAAAAGTAGGAATGGTAAAATAGAATGTGGGTTGAAGTAAATAGGGTTAAAGGTCAGTAAAACAAAAGAAGGACAACCTGCATGCTGGACTCCATCAGAGACACAGCTACCACAGCGTCTTCTGTTGTTACGTTTTCCCTGAACATCAACCTGGCGTGTCCTGGAGGAAAACACAAGTTGAATTATCACAAGGAAAGTAAGTTGCAAATATTAAGTAACGATAGCAAAATTTAAGTACCAGAGTAATAATGCATCCAAACTTTTATGTCTGGTAACAGTTTTAAGGTTAAATTTCCCAAATTTTGAAATTTATTTTTAAAACCAATATTTTAAATTTAAAAAAAAAATAATTAAAAACGCTATTAAAAAATGTACTTAAATAAAACATAAACAAGAAATTTATAAACTCTATAAAACTCTACCTTGAGCAAGCCGAATCATACTCTGTAACAGTCTCATGGTGGTCCTGGCAGCATTTCTGTCGTCTGCTCCTCTCTGAGCGCGATAGTACGCTTGCAAGACTCTGTTTCAATTGACATTTTAGATCAGAGATGATTATTTCATGTAAGGGGTCATCCATTTATGACATCCGCACAAAAGGGGTCCGAAAAAAATTTGATTTTTGTGGACAGGCGGGGGTCCAAAATCCAAAAAAATGTGTGGACGTCATAAATGGATGACCCCTAAACATAAACTTCTTGCTAACCTGCAAGTTTTAAGTTGGGTTCCCAACTATGATTAACCCAGTTCACTTTTCATACAGAGGTTTCAGATATTTATGAACTCTACTCCACCTGCCTAATTAAGCATGACTAGCATGAACAAAGAAAAATAAAGGCCACTGTACAAACCTGCTAGCCTGAGGTGACAGCTGAGGGTTCAACGACTTAATGAGCGTAATGTAGGCCTGCATTTTGTCCATGGACCACACTGTATTCATGTCAGTCATGTCTGGTTAGACAAGAGCATAGGGCAATAAAATCACACTGGTAAATCAAACTTGTCATATTGCTGATATTCTTTTGTTAAACTAAAGGTACTATATATCAGATATATTTTGAAATTAACTTGACATAATAAATAATAAATGTAAATAATGTATGCAATTTTTAATAATCTTTCATGTGATGGCCTCATAACTGTATTTTTGGCTATTTTAAAGTTTCAACGTTTCATTTTTGATAAAAAGTTACAAAAATAACACTTAAAAATATAAATACCTACAGAAAATACTTGGCACAAGTGTAATTTAAAGTTATTAATCTAAGGTCACAAATATTCTTTCCAAGCCGATGTAGCATTTTAAAAAATTTTTTAGCTTCTTCCAAAACAAAACTTAGAACTAACCTAGATGAGTTTAGAATACTAAATAAAAAAAAGAGCTCACTAAATGAACTTACCGGCAGGATTTCTACCTTCCAGAATAAAAGATGACACTATCCTGTCCCACTGGTCATTCTGGGTGTCCAGCAAAACCAGGACTAGGTCAAATCTTGACAGAAGTGGACTGGCTAGTGCAACATTCACACACAACGACTGTGGCAACAAAGATTCAAACTTTTTAATTATAGATTATGCTACAACAATTATTTATCATCAATAAAAATATAAATTACAAAAAAATTAAGTTATACAAAAATTGATACCTCATTGGGATCATAGTGGCCTTTAGGGTTCGTAGCAGCTAAGATGGTTGTTCTTGTGTTAAGTTTACAAACAAGGCCTGCCTAGTAGAAGGTTTATATACATTAAGTTAGGAAATTTAAAATACTCATGCATACTTTAAAGTTATAAACATATTATTCTAGGTTTAAAAATTAAAAACAAATAAAGTGATAATTTGTCAAAACTGTAACTTACATACAAACATGTTTCGTAAGTTAGATTCCTGACATATTAAGATTTTCTACACTGTAAAAACTCCATTAAATCATTATCAACAAATGTGGTCTGTTAATCCATGGGCTAATGTATGCTAGTTTTATCATGCTCCTTGATAGAGTTGAACAAAATTCTGTAACTACACTACAAACCTTAGCAACAGATATGGTCTGTTGTTCCATAGCCTCATGTATGCTAGTCTTGTCATGCTCCTTGATAGAGTTGAACTCATCAATGCAGCAAATGCCTCCATCAGCCAACACCAGAGCGCCAGCCTCTAACTGCCACTCTCCACCATCCTAAACCAAAAGATACAAGTATATATATATATATATTTACTTTGGATTGTCTTATCCCTCATCAACCTATGTGGTTGAAAATAAATATTTATGGTAGGGGTTAAGTAATATTTTTATGTTAAGTTAGCTCAAACGATGGCAAAGAGAAAGATTGAGGTATAGACTTCCAACTTCAAATCTGGGGGAAAATTATTTTGACTGAAGTGCTCTCCATCAAATTTAAGAGGGAAGGGTAACTATTAAAACTTGACTTAGCATATATATGGTACTTTGAAAATTAAAAAAAAATCTTCTTAAAATTCTTAAACATTATTTTAAGGAATAGGTGGGTGGGTTGAACATTCTTTATTTTAATTACTTTATATTCCAATAATTTTAAATTTGTTAGTTTCATTTTATAATTAAAAATAGGAAAATCTAGTTATATTTTAATAAAGAAAATAAAAATAGTCAAGTAAAAAAAGTTTTCAGTGCTTATAGAAGACAAAATAAATGACTAACATTGGTCTAAATAAAAATTTACCAAGCGTCTATCTTGAAATTTTATACTCAGATACTGGCAACTAAATGTACACTCACCTTCACAGCTGTGACGGTCAGTCCAGCACTTGTACTGCCTATACCAGTGGTCAGAACAGAGCGAGGGGTGATCTTGGAGGAATATTTCAAAAACTGAGATTTTCCTGTTCCTGTCCCAAAATATAGATAAAACCAACATCAGGTGATATTCTTGGTTCTTCTTCTTCTTCATCGTTCTTAATTATTAGTGTTGAAGGGGATCGAGATTTATCTGCCAGTGGGTTTGAACTCGAGACTTTGTTCGAATTTATCAACCATGAGCTTTTTGCAGACTCGACCACGCCTCCAACACAATTAAGCGTTACGTGTCAACTGGTTATGCGCCATTGACTCCAATTTCAGCCTGCTTTTCTTTTTGGATTTGCTCCCATAGCCTTTGTCCAACCAAGAACAAACTACAAGGCAGCAGTTGTTTAATTTTGGAGTTGTCTCTCCTAGAAGAGTGGCTGTCCCCAGCTAACGAGCCTCATCTGCCCGAGGATTCGAACTCGAGACTTTTCAGTTTAGCAACCATGAGCTTTACCGACTCGACCACGCCGACCCATATTCTTGGTTAAATTAATGCTTAAAAACTTTTCAGAAATACAACATAGCTGTCTTAAAAATTAAACATTCTATGAAGGTAAACATCAATATACATATTATTATCACGGCCAGTGCATTTTGTGCGAAATTATATAAACAATAAAGGATGCACTTTTTCAAATAAAACTGAAATGTGTATCAAATAACTTGGTACAATAAATTTGTTAAAAGGCATATATCCCATGTCTTACCTGGGTCGCCAACCAGCAATAGATGGATTTCTCCTCGCACTTTTGAACCACTCTCATCAACTCTCTAGAGAAAAGATAACCCTTAGGATAAATGTACAATCTGATTTTTTTTTTACAGATGAGTAAATATTTTAACAGAATTTGTAACAGCTAATAGAAGTAAAAACAGAATCTGTATTTCTAAAAGGAATTTATATTGCAAAAATATTCTTTAAAATATTACTAGAAATATTTGACACCTTTCTTCTTGGCTTATCCAGTACTTTAGACAGTGGTATCAAGTCATTTTGTTAATGTTGAACACCACTAGCTCTGGACCACTAACCTGAACACCTGGACCACTAACCCAAACACCTGGACCACTTACCTGAACACCACCAGCCAGGACCACTAACCTGAACACCTGGATCACTAACCCAAACACCTGGAACACTAACCTGAACATAAAAAGTTTGGACCACTAACCCAAACACTTGGACCACTAACCTGAACACCACCAGCCAAGACCACAGCAACAGCAAGTTTCACCACATAGAGTCCATACACTTGTGGGCATATGCTGGCCAGTAGTACATTCCTACCAGTCAGAGGCTTGTACTTGTACTTTTCCCAGAATTCACTCACTTCAGCTTTCTGAAACAAAACAAAAATTAGGAGGCCAGTCTAATATGTAGATCTAATCATTAGATGTAAAAGGGGAGAGGAAGAAATGCTAGCTATATATAAACTTATATAAGGCGAGTCATTCTAGACCTCTTGTATCCATACTGAGATTCACAAATTACTAAAACAATATTCATAAAAATATTGAAAGGAGAACTGATAAAAAATATAAAAATAATAGGCCAATGACCTACAAGCTCTGGGGTAATGATCACATGGTTTCTTTGTTCATTGGTGACCAGAATGTGGTTAGCATGGAGGACTATTTCAACATCACATTTTTCATCTGGAATAGTTGGCCTCCATCTTTGTCTCACTGTCCCACTATTGTTTCAGTCAATGAAAAAACAAATCATTGAGTTTTGAATAGCACAAGTAGCTCTACTTAATATTCACATTTTGAAGTAAAGTTTACTAAAGAGAAACAAATAGTCATATTCCACATGTTGCCTACAAAGTCATTAAAAAAAATAATACAAGGGAGATAACACTGTCAGTTAATCATAAATGGTATTGATTTGAATACATTTTTAACGTATATCGAAAATAGTTTGATATAAATTCTTAACGTTATATTTAAGTGAAATATATAATTTCCTGATATCTGAAAGTACAAGATAACCCCTTAGTTAAAAAATTAATAACCAACCATATGGTGACATCATCCCCTGCCTTGCAGCTGTCCACTAAATCATCCTCTAGAACCACCCACATTGACCTGGGTATTGTGCCCATAGACAACCTCTGGACTTGTTCTTGTATCTTTATTTCCTGGTAGTTTCTGCACATATTTGGGCCAGTTGCTGAAACATTTTTTAAAAAAGGAACATTGATGAAGAAATTAAGTTAAATTACTAAGAGAGGCGACTGAATTGATTTCACACAAAAAATAAAAGTTAGACTGAGTCTGATTACGGAATATATAGATAGCTCACACAATTGTTATAGTGTAGAAAATAATTACTTATATTTTCACTTTTCAAGGGTTAAGAGCTTTAGATCAACACCATTGTTGACTAACAGTGGGAGTGTGGTACCCTCTAACTTGTTAGCATTAAAACTGAGAATTCATGTGCAAAAGAATGTGTGGTCAGCACAAAGCAGTGCCTCCTTTACTTCATCTGACATGAATGGATTTAATGATATCCTATGAACCTATCTTCAATCCGACTAATGCTGAACTATAAAATCTAAAATCCCTTTAATACTATTATATTCATCTCAATAAAAGAAAGTCTTAAAAAAAGTCATACAAAATGTTGAACTTAAGTCAAATGACCAGAATTAATAAACACCCAATATACAGTGTGTACATAAAAACACAACCTTTCTACCAACCTCGATCTCCTAAAGGGACCAAATTGTTTCCCCCACAAGCATCGTTACTGCAGACTGTTGGTTTACTGAGACTGTAAAACTGTTCAAAGTCAGCCTGCAAAAAATAAAATCTATTCAGACTAATGGCAGGGTCCTTGGGTAAAAAGATTTGATGAACAAAATTACATAACTAAATAATATACAGTAGAGTATCCAGGATTTTCTGCTGGCTGCGCTAAAAGTAGCAACACATGAGCAAGAGAAAAACCAAAAAGAAAATTTCCTGCCAAGAAAAAAAAATTATTTAAAAAAATAGAGACTGTCTAAAAGTTTTCGCCTTCAATTTTTATGTGAAAAAATCTAAAAGCATTAATTCATCTTTCATGTGTCTAACACTAAAATAAAAAAAAATTATCTTTCTACCTTAGCTGAGGTCACAGTTCGACATTTCGAACAAATATATTCCCTTTCGTGCTCCAGAACTCGAATCAACGTAGTTCTAATCACAGTGCCTAAAATATTGGAAATTAAAACCATAAATGAGATTTTTGTGTTCATGTGAGTAATCAAAGAAATAAAATGTAAGATTCAGCACCTAACAGTAGATGAGTTGCATCTTAGCAGAGACAGTAGATAATCAGCTGAGAAACAATATGAAGGGATACAAATAAATATGATTTTTACTAACTGCACTTTCTACTTATCATTTTTTCTATAAACACTTTTCTTTTAAGCTTATGAAAGGAAAAGCAGGTTAAAAGGATTTGTACAACTTTGTAATCCAACAGATAAAATTTTCATTGAAACAGAATGTACAGCTAAATTGTTCTTGTCAATCTAGATTTATCTCCATTATGATTAAAAAATCTTTTGTTTAAATTGCAACTAGAATTATTGTAGTTTTTTAAAATATCTTTTAGTCATCTGTTATAATTAAGCCTGTTGAAATAAACACTAACTAAAAAAATGTAACAAATTAAAATATTAGTAAATAAAAAATAAACCGGGGGGGGGGGGGGGGGCTACTAAGTTTTTAAATAATTCCTTAAGGGGTAGAGAAATCTTATAAAAATTCTAAATGTTTAATGGATGTCAAAAGCCATTAAAAAAAATTGAGCAGAGTAACTGGGAACAAAAAAGAACTGCCATGAGGGCCTTTGTTGATAATTTCAATTGTAATTGAGATGTTTTGTGTGTTGAAAGTGAGTGTGTAGTGACAGCAACCAAAAGCCTTTGAAGCCAGGAAGTTGTGTTTTATATGTTAAAAAAAAATCAAATAAATTAGATCAGTAAAACAAACAGCTGATTTTTTTTATTGATAAGTAACTTAAACAAAATGTTACATTTTTGTCATTGTTAAGGGCCTAGAAACTTTAAAAATCATAGTTACCAGTGACTGCCAGGAAATTTCCCACATCTGCAGTGCGAGGCAGTGATGTTCTGCTCAGCTCAGGGCAAACAGGCAAGGACATAACACGGACGTGTACTTTCTTTTTTACTGTCTGGAGATTTTTAAATATATTTTTTATAAGTGTAATAAATCTTATTAAACCTATACTACTGTATAAATCAATTTTTAAAAGTTATGAAAATTTAAAAATTTTTTTTCTGTATAACAATACATTAACAGTAATGTTAAAATAATTACACTTGGTAGGATGTTATTAAAATAAGATTGTTATAATATAATTTTAAAAATCAAATCAAAAGCAACACTCAATTTTTAGGAAACTGTAGCATTATGTATAAAATCTAACTATTTAAAAAATCCTTATTAAATAATTTGTTAATTTATTACATATATATATTATTTTACAACACTAAAACAGTACCTGCCCCAAATTAAATTATCTAAAACTTATAAAAAAAGAAACACACCATGTGTGCCTGGGTCCCACCCTTGTCTATCTCTGTCTTCAAATCTTTTTCAGCCTCAAGACAAGCAGCATCAAACAGTGTCAAAAGTGATAACGGAGAAGCTAAGAGTAGGTCACAAAACTCCATGTTTGTTTCAAACAGAGACAACGCACTGTTAAACAGCAGAGAAACATAGATGCAATGTTTATAGTTTCAATAAATGTTAAATAACTAAATATGTTTATAAACCAACAGGATTTTATTAACAACAAGAGTATTGTTTTAATACCTTAAATGAACACATCTCGATTATTTAGCCCTACCCTAAAACATTTAGACTGCGTGGCCTAAGCGGTAGAGCGCTAGGCGCTTACCCGCATGTCTCGACTTTGAATCCAGGTTCAAGTCAGTAGAACATCCCTTAGTCCACCCAGCTCTGATGGGTACATAACTCATGTTAGGGAAAGTAAAGGCGGCTGGGATAAGTGCTGACCATACATTCCCTTCAAATGCAGAGGTTAAGAAACATATGAACTCTACTTCATCTGCCCTATGGATCCCCAGGTCTAAAGAGGATTCTTTACTTTAAAGCATTAAGACAGATTTGTTATCACTTAGAATGGTTTAGAAACTGACTAATAATCTTGGAGTACTATTAGTTTTACTATTAACTCTACCCAAATGGTTTTTAGAGAAATTTCAAGTTTATTTTCTGCTAGAGGCAACATACTTTACTGTGAGTGAGTGATATTCTTCTTCATCATCTTCTTCTAAAATCTGGAGTAATTCCTGCTTGTGGTTTAAGAGAAGGTAAGCCTTCAGTCCTTCTAAAAAATGTGAACAAATTACATTTTAAACAAATAAAAAAAATAACTTACAAATAAATGTTACACCATAGCAGGTTATTATTTAGGAAGCCATTTAATTAAATTAGGCTACTTGTTAGCTGTGCCAAACAGTAGGGCGTTCACTTTGGTGTTCAGTCTGTAGGCCTAGTGAAAAGTTAGGTCTAGTAATCACTAAATCTATCAGTTTTTACTTAGGCCTAGATCTATAGCTATAGACTATAGTTTACAGTGCTTTACTATACCATTGATAGTAATGATAGTAATTAGTATAGTACCACATATCTGCGTTACTTAATTCTAACTATCTAGTCAATTATTATAGTCAAGCAAGATCTACACTCATTTACTAGTTACTACCCGTAATGCTACAACAGCATCAAGCTAACTTCAAACTTAGTAACTAAACTAGTAGTACTAGACTAGTAGTAGTACTAGACTTAACTAGACTAGGTACGAGATAGACAAGAGGTTGAAGAATGTATGTACTGTAAAGTAACTGTATGACTGTCACTGACTATGTAGAGTGTCAAAGATAGAATCTAGTCTAGCTAGATCTAGAGTCCTAGACTACTACTAGAATCTGGTACTTAACAACCACCAGCGTTAGAGTGTAGTGTAGATAAGTAAGAGTTACTACTTCTTTAAGCTACTAGACTAGTCTAACTAGATTCTAGCTACACTCTAGAGCAGGGGTCTCCAAACTACGGCCCGCGGGCCGCATCCGGCCCGCGAGGTCCTTTCATCCGGCCCGTGGAGATCTTTTTGTTCACGGAAAAAAATGTTGAAGTGGCTGAGCTACTTTGCTCAGAAAATTCAAAACAATTTGAAAATCTAGCTTTGGGTATAAATACCTTTGTCCTCCGTGTTGCAAACATTGATGAAAACATTGTGATTCAAATAGAGTCGCTGGACAGCTGTTCCATGTTTTTGGAACAAGTACAGGGCAACAACTTGACACACTTTCGCACTTTCAGCAGTGCAATGTCTTCATGGCTGAAGCAACAGCTGAGTTCCCCACAGCATTTGCATGCAAGATAATCAAAGACCTCCAGCTGCAGTTTCAGTAACGGTTTTCTGACTAGGATTCAAAGGCAGAAGAAGTGAGACTGCTTTAATACCCATTTGAAGCAAATGTAACCAGTTGCCTAGATGAACTGCAGATGGAGGTCATTGAATTGCAAGCAAATGGCCGCCATAGAGACAAGTTAAAAAAAATGGCGGGTGGGTTTTTGTGTTTGCCCAAGGAGAACAAACTCAGACCTCTAGTGTGTTGTTCGCCCCGACAGTGTTTCTTTCAGACTTTTTCTCCTGTAGGGGGGGGGGGGCTTTTAAAATGTGTATATATTTCTATATAAGTTATATTTCGTTGGGGGGGGGGGGCACGGGGGACACCACCACCCCAAGGATGCATGGAAGAAACTCTACTCTGGCCCGCGAACTGATATTTGATAGTTAATGCGGCCCTCGGGCTGAAAAGTTTGGAGACCCCTGCTCTAGAGCAGTGGTTCCCAACCCTGTGCCCGCGGGCGCCATGTCACTATTCGACAGAGACAGAATTTTTTTCATAAACATTATTTTAAAATATGATTTATTTTTATTCATTTGTTACAGTTTTAATTTTTTTTTGACTGCCTAGGTTTATTAAATAATTTAAATATGTTCGATACTTGTCCCAACTTGTCTAGCGGCGAGCCAGACTGCACTATTTACTCTAGCCTGGAATGGCTAGTGCCTTTTGCACATCACACCTTGTACACGCAGAAAACCCGAAGTGAACGAATGGAACGAACTGATCCGATATACGCCGAAGGCGCCAAATCACAACGGCACATAACTCTGATTGCTTCGGCGATCATTGACTCACTTCGGGTTTTCCGCGTGTACATGGAGTGATGTGCAAAAAGCATTTGTTTATTATTTATTAATACATTATGACTTATTATGACTATAAGAAAATAAATTATGGGAAAATGACAAGATATGAAAGGAGTTTGTCAATTTAAAATAGGTGGTGCCCGCCACCCTTCCAATATTTTAGAATGTGCTCTAGAGTAAAAAAAGTTGGGAACCCCTGCTCTAGAGTAACAACTAGAGTTAGATCTAGAATCTAGTAGATTCTAGTACAGTGAGTACTCAGTACGGACAGTGATTGAGTGAAGCTTAGGTCTTAACTCAGTCTTAGGCTTTGCCGGATTCTAATTCTAGAATTGTAGAACTAATCAATCGTGTTTGTACCTTTATGCTTTGAAACGTTATTAGCAGACATCTTTTCAGTCTATTTATTTTAAATTTCATTAGCACATTCAATGTAGATCTAGATCTAATTGTTATTTTGAGGGTTAGATTATCTAGATCTAGTACACAACATAAATTTTCTAACATTCAGCAAACCCGCCACTAGAAAATCAGGAAGTAATCCTTGTAACCTTGACACCTGCTAACATAGCTTTCTTTCGCATTTTACTTAAAAGTTAATGCATAACAGTCTGCTGTTGGTACGTTATAAAATAACCATTTGGGTTTTTAACTAGATCTAGAATCTAGGTCTTCATAACAAAAATTAAAAAGAAGATGGACTCGTGTCTTTAGTATTACAGCATGGGGTAATCACATTAAAAAACAATAGCATTATTAGTCCAACTACAAGTTGTCTTATACTGAGCATTTTAACACGTTTTTATTAACTCAGCTTCGCGTGGATGTGTTTGTTGTTAAAATTGACATCGAAAATTAGCCCACTTCTGATTGTTCTATAGTTCTGAAATTTGGCATGCAGGTTACTTTCGCCTAACAATTTCAGATGCAATCATAAAAACTAGCAATTAGAGACCGTAATTAGCTTAATTTAATTACGCCCCAAGGACCATAAAATTGAGGACATGATTTCTAAAGATACCGACAAGACTGGAGGCCTATAGACACAGTTACTTCGGCCCCAATCGATGTGAGCGCGCTGGCCGTGATCGTATAGTGGTTAGTACTTCGCGTTGTGGCCGCGACAACCCAGGTTCGAATCCTGGTCGCTCAAGATTTTTTTAGTCCGTGTATTTATAAACACTTTTTTAAAAACCACGTTTTTCATGTGTAGCAACGGACTAAAAAGGAGAAAATAAAATACTTAAAAAAAAACTTTTTAAAAAACCACGTTTTTCTTGTGGACTAAAAAGTAGAAAATAACTATTTACATACATTTGATGACAAAAAACGTGGGTCGGGCAGATGGGTCGGGAAATTTGATGGTGAACGTACCCACGTTTTTTGTCATCAAATGTATGTAAATAGTTATTTTCTACTTTTTAGTCCACAAGAAAAACGTGGTTTTTTAAAAAGTTTTTTTTTAAGTATTTTATTTACATTTCTATAGGATGTTTATTGTTTACTATTGTTTATAGTTGCACTGATATGAATTTGAAAATATATCTTGTCTGGCAGAATGTTTTATCAGGAACACTGCAAAAATGGTCATCAATTCGGTGGGGAGATGTGGACTAAGATCCCTTCTGTCTATACTGCTGTCTTTACAATGACTATTTTCTGAACCTATGTCGTTGAAATAAGATTTGATGTCTAATATGGCTGTTGTGATTAATATTTGCTATCTCATATCATATTAACCTTGTTGACTGTTTTTTTTTTAATCATATGCATACACAAAATTATGACAGTTTCAAATGTCATACTTTTCTTTAAATCTAAATAAGTCAAAAAATTACTAATTAATAATCAGCACTATTGGCACAAGTCGTTCTAAAAATATAATTAGCTCTAAACTAAAGAATGAATAAAAATTTTACAAACACAGTAAACAAAACATTTAAAATTGGAAAACAACAATCATTTTATTGATTGATCAATCTAGATCTGCAAAATCAGTTCTGAATATATTTAAGTAATTAAAACAAAAAATTTCATGCAGCTGTTACATCCATCAGATCTTTGAACAATGATAAACTAGCTTTTAGTCCCTTCCCATACACAGCCTAGAAGCTTTTCTACATCTGGACATTAAACATACATTGCAGCTGAGAAATAAATTTTGATTTAGTTGACATAAAAGGCAATAAATAGTTCTTTCAGATCAGTAATGCGTGGCACTAGGTACCAATATACAGTAGATCAGAATTAGGAAGACAGAATAAGTTAAATTAAATTTTATGACAATATAATAATGCTTTTCAATAATCATTGCTTTCAACACAATATTTATTTACAAAATAATGCTTTTATAGACTAAAAATATACTTCTGATTAAAATCCCAAAATTACAAGGCCATTCATTAATCCCTTAAGCACATGAGAACAAAAGTGAAATCTGAATGTAAAACAATTAAGTAAGTTAAATATTTAATGATAAAAATGACATTGATACTAAACTTTGTTCTAGTATGTTGATAAAGCTCTAGATTTAAACTCATCTAGGATCTTGTACAAGAACCAATGGGCGACTAAATTACAGAGATGTCTGTAAACAAAACCTGAGGCAAACAGACATAAACAAACACATGAAGGAGCAGCTGGCCCAAGACAGAACATTGTGGAGACAGGCCGTGCGGACCGGCATCCTCATAGCTTAAGGAGAAAGGGCAGAGGTAGCCTCTGAGAAAAGAAGAAGGAAAATATCTGCACATTCTGATTGCCATTAAAAAACTGGCATGATCATGTTCAGCCACAACAGAGCATGCACCAAGAAAATGACATTTTATCTCCAGGCGCAAAATTCTAGTCTCACAAGGCCAAAGGAGCCATACATTTAGGATATTGTGGTAAATTATTTGAAAATTAATCCAATTAAATGATTAGATAAGTATTGTATTCTTTAAGTACAGAGTCGTCTATATATGATGTCAAATTTTGTAGACTATTCCCACCACCCCTCTCCTAAAATAAACTGAAATAGTAACTGAGCATTGTCAACATTAGATAAGCTGGTCCATTTGTATTACATTTGTATTGAAACTGCCAAAATTTAGTTCTTGTTTTCTTAAAATAATGCCAAAGTGTGATAAACATTATTATTATATTTATATACCGATGTAAAGTACCATAGTTCCTCCCGCTTTAATATTAGACTATAGAAACTAAGGCAAAAAAATAAACCTTCTATGAACACTAATGATATGTGAAAACAAATTGGTGTCAGCAATAACAGGAACCAGACAGCAATTTCTCACATGTTGATTTGAATTTCTTTAAACAGCACTAGTCAATTTCCCTAAATACACATGAATCATGATATATGTACATATTAAGTAAACAATGTCCTAATCAGGCTTCAATGAACAAATCTACAATGAAATTTTTAAAATAATTATGCAGTAGGGTAAGTTCTAAGCTCAACAAATAAAAATTAAAATAAATTTAAAATACAACATTACAATGGAATTATTTAAATAAACTAATGAGGCATCTATCTTATGGAAAATAAATGAATAAACAAACAAACAAGAAAAAAAATGAAACTGTTTTAGCATAAGTAAAAATTTAAGATCCTAGAAACTAATTTTAATGTTACAGAAAAACTCTTCAATTGTGAAGGTGTTAAATAAATTAAACATATATTTGACTAGGGTATTTTCAAATTTTTTGGTACAATTAGTTTGTAATAATATGCTTATTTCATTTAAAGTTTTATGGTAAAATTTGACTTAAGTTAAATGTAAAACTTATGAAGTGTTTTAAAAAAATAATTAATTTTATGTGTCAAAACATATAATACAGTGTATAAAACAATATTAAATTAAAAACACTGACTAAACAAAAATTCATTTAGAATTAACAAATAAAAAACATAGGAAATGAACTATTGAAAGAAATTGAGTATTTAAATAAGCTTTTTTCTATTAATCTGAGATAGTATTAAAAATATTTTTTTAGATGTAAGATGTATGAACAGAAGAATAACATTGAATTCACAACCTTATATGCAAATCTAGGCAGAAATAGCATTTTCATCAAGCTTCTATTAGAGCAAGGAACATTACAGAGATAAACAATTTCATTCCAACTCAAGATACAATAGTAAAAACAACTTTTAAAAATAATTTACCTTCAGCTAGTATAGTAGAAACTGCTTTTAAGAAATCCTGTATATACTTAAAAAAAAACAACATTAAAATAAATCAGTAAACTCACTCTTTAAAAGTATAGGGATTAAAATAAAAAGTAATTTGTAAAAATATACATTTAGCATTCTTTAAGCTATACTGTGGCTACTCTGTAGTGGTTTAGGTACACATCTAAGTTCATAGTTAAAATTTTACACACAAATTGTGAAAAATTCTAATTCTAAGACACTACACAAAAAATGTGAATTAGAACTCAATCATAAATAACTCTTTACAAATAAAAAAAAACGTATTACGTTTAAAAAAAAACTGAGCTTATAAACATGAATAGTCACAAGTTACCACTTATGAAAAATGTGACTAGTAGTGTCTCAGAGAGTACAGTGGCAGTTGTGTCACAAATGGAAGCACAGGATATATAATTTATGACTAGTATATATTCAATAACTACAACAATCCTACTAAATCTACTGCTAAAAAAAGGTGAAAGATTTATCAAATAAAACTGACTGGCTTGAAAAACTATTGTAATGCCACACTACAGGGGATGAGCTTCTGTTGTGGAACTGTAAGTAAAGAAATAATAAAATAACCCATACTGATTAAATCAAATATGTGATTATTTTTGTTCCACTTGAAATAAAAGTATAAAAATACACAAAACTGAAAATTTGTTCCATAAAATCAAAAAAGAAACAAACATAATAAAACAATAAACAAAAAATTGCAATGGTACACTGGCTAATCTGAAATTTCAGAATGGGGAAGTAATAATAGCCCATTAGCATTCAGTACAACAGCACTCTGGTGGTCAGACTAAATTTTACAAGGTACAGTGGAGTGCACTCAACACAATTTTCTGTATTACAACCGTAGAATTCAAAGACTGATCCAGATCAGGCAAAATTACTCCTTATTATGTGGTATTAATATTAGACAAACCAATGACTTTATTTTAAGCACTACAGTCAACCAATATTTAATGCATGTAACGCTTAAACCTTATAACACCCTATGAGACATTTTTATTTTAGTAATTTCTATAGAGTTAGCTATAAAATCAAAGTTCAAAAGTTTTGTCCAAATTGCAATTTTTAAAGTTGTGATAATCTTACAATTTTTATGATCAGCTCATGTACATTATTCAGGTGCCATAGGGTTAGCTTTTTACAATTGCAACTATGCTTATAACTCACTAACGATATCTTCTGTAAAATATACAATCAGACATGTCACCATTCACACAATTGGATCAGTTGCATCTCTGGCCAGTGAAGACTCAGGTCTACCCTTTGGCGCTGTTTTGGTCTCAGTGACTGGCTGTAGTTTGTTTCTTACTGCTACGCTACAGGAGGCCCCGCTGTCATCAGACTCAAACACATCATCTGCATCGTAGTTCAGCAGGCGTCGCTGGGGTTTGTAAACCTTAGGGAGAAAACAAAGTCGGCCTGGCATCGTGCAGAACTGGGAGGATGGGTCGCAGACTGATTGGAGATCCATGTCAGTGGAGGATGTCAGCAGGGGAGGATGGGCTTCGTAATCCTCCCGTGAGTAAACGTTGTACTCTGAGTTTACTGGCCTCGGATCACCAATGTTTCTTATGGCTCGTATGACAACATAGCCAGAGTCTGTGTCATCTGGATTTTAAAAGTAAGCAAATTACAACTTTACCACAGCACAAACACATGGGATAAAAATGTATTACTTCGGAAGATTATCATAATAATTCTACTGTTTAAAAATTCATAAAAGCATAAAAACTAGCATAGATGTTAAATTCATCATTTCAACAATAAATGAATAAATCAATAAAGAGGAATTAATTTTTAAACTTAATAAATAAAAATTATCCAAATAAAAGTTGATGAGCAAAAGTTACCTATATCATTTTCTTCAGGTTGTTTGATAACAGCCACCTTCTGAAGCTTACGGAAAGCCATAAGAACAATAACAGTTGCAACAATAATCAAAACACTCAACAATCCAATCAGAGCAAATGCCAATGTCTTCCAGTACTCTCTGTCCTCTTTCTCAACAGTTGGGCCCTCATCTTCATTAACTATCAGGCTAGGTTTCTCCTTTGATGTTCTTTTTGGTGTACCAGTATCCACATCTATAGACAGCACACCATTTTTGGTGTCAAACAACACATCTATATTTGAGTCTAGAGAACCACACTCTAAGTCTGCAAACTGAGAACACTGTGTCTTGACGAGTTGGTTTGCTGGACACAAGGAGCATTTCTTGCACTTTTCTGCAATGGTGTCATAAAAGTGGCCAGCACGGCATACTCCTATTTTGGATAAAGCTACTGGATTCAGCTGGGAGCACAGAGTACCAGCTACAACCAAACAGGAAGCCCAGCTCATCATGTTTGTTGGGGATAGAACTGTTGTATAAAACTGCAAAAAAAAAGTAATGAAGATTATACTAATTTATACTGTAAAAGATATGTTTTTTGTGCCCCAGTATCATAATTAGACAAAAATACTTGCAAAAAAATTGCTCTTGTATGTAATACCCACATGGTCAGCTAATGCAGTGTACCTTACTAGGTTTGCTGTTCCATGGTAAGTTAAGGTAATACACCACTAACCATTAGCATAACAAACTTTTAATATTAGGCTGCTTAATAGTACTTAATTAATACTAATTATTAATCATTCCAGCATTATTTTAAGTAGCCTATCTATGGAGAGGCATCGCAATGCGGGGACTGGGGCTGCACACTGCACTGGGTGACACCAAGACAAAAATATTGCAGAAAAAAACAGAAGTTATATCAATACAAACTAAACATTTATTTTAGAATCAGTTTAGTTAGGCTGAAGAATTTACTAACTTACTAAACTTAGAAGATTTAGTTTAGATCGAGATTAGTTAGTGAATCTACATTCTAATTCTAAGAGACTCGACTCGTAGGTTACCTAGAGTAGAGAGGAGGTGGGTTTATTTTAATTTGGCCTTTTTAAATATTTAGGTCTAGGCCTATAAGACATTAAAAAAAGGCAAAAAATCTATATGCCTTTTAGGCCTAAATTTAAATACTAGATTCAAGATCTAGGCCGATCTAGGCGTAGCTGCTAACCTTTATTTAATATTTAGTATTATTTAGTGACCAGGGCAAACAACAATCAATTTTGTGTGCCCTAGCCTAGTTATGCCTCTGGATCTAGGGCATTAAAAGCTAGATTTACTGCAACAGCAGCTTTTTAAGTGTGACACGGAATCTTCAATGATCAATGTGAACCAAACTTCCAAAAAAAAGTAATTTTAAAGTATTAGGCCTATTTAAAAAGTATTTTAAAGTAAGGCTTGAAAACTTGTAAAAACATAAGACAGAGATTTTCTAAATACTAAACTAAATAAACTTAGCTTAGATCTAAGCAATTTTCAAAACAATAGAGAATTAGATTACCCTTTTGACTATGTAAAAACAAATTAAAGAACCAGAAATCTAATGAACTGTTAGAGAATAATATTCATAGTTAATAAAAATCGTTAAAATGTGTTGCATTTTTAGTCTTCTTTGTGTAGTTTATCCAAAAACGGATGTTCTAAATACCGAAAGATTAGTGCGGAGGAAATATAGTAAAACGCATTTTCGAGGGCTATCTCTTTATCGAATGGGTTTTCTATTTATTTCATTTTAAAAAAAAAAGAATAAATTTTTATTTGGGATGTTAATTAAGGGTAGTACAAAATTGACAGCCCACACCTAGGGCAAGGAGCTCTGAGTTTTGTACCTGTGTGTAGCAGAGGCCCTTAGTTTAATTCAAAGGATCATTTTATTCATAATTTAGACCTAGATCTAGATCAGTTAATTTTTAAAAAGCTAAAATTGTAATTTGATGTGGGAAGGAGGGATGTATGTTAACGAGTATAACGAATGTTATTTTTGTGTGGAGGTGGGTGTCTGACTTTTTATGACGATGTGATGAGTGGAAGAAAAAAAAAGATCGTAAGTGTGACGTAATTTTTGGACGATCCCCTATTTAATCAAACCAATTACGAAGAGACAAAGCAAGAAACCGTATCTTGTCTTTGGGGTTTTGGTAGAGTTCAAGACACCGTCACATTCCAAAGACCCCATAAGTATTCTGGATCTCGTTGGAAAACAATCTAAGTCTATCATCATCTATTACCGTTTGTGCCCAAGACACATCACATGGGGCAAACGAAGTAAAGTTAAGCTGCTTTAAGGACAAATGAAAGGATGGTGCGCTTTGGTTTCCTTAACGTGAGCCAGGTACCCATCAGAGCTGGGTGGACTCAGGGACGTCTACCAACCGACTACGCCGTTCCAATCTATATAGTAATCATTATTTGATCACCTTTACGAATTTACTTGACCAGAAAACACCGACAGTAATCCATTGTGTTTAGTAGATAAAAATGGTCTACTTGTAATACTTTTACGTAGCCACTACAAAAAAAAGCCAACAAATCACTTAACAAAATGCATAGATTTTTATAATTCGAAACCATTAATATTTATTTCATAATTGACCCTTAATCATTGTACCACACATTAAAAAAAGTTATATAAAATAATTTGTAATCAAACATAAAAAAGCTACAGAACAAAATAGCAAGGAAAGAAAATAAAGTAGCCGAGTAAACGTTTCTAATTTCATGTGCGCGTACATCGGACTACTATTGCAAAGACCAATACAGAACTAATTTAATTATCACCGAAAAAAAGTGCTTTCTATTTACTGTGGGGTCGTCCATAAATGACGTCACACTCATAAGGGGGGGGGGGGGGTCCGTAATTTTGTGACGATGTGTGATGAGGGGAAGGAGGGGGTGTTCAGATGATGTGACGTCACTTTTTGCATTATAAAAAAGCAATGTTAGAAAACGGATTTTAGCCGTTATTTCGCGTTTTAGAAAACGGTTTTAATAAATTGTAATAGGAATTGATCAAAATACTCTATGTTGACAGAGTTCTGACAAGATCTAGGAAAAATATCGATGTTTTAAGAAAAACTCAACAGCAATTTTGAGGGGGGTTGTAGGCGAGGTGTGACGTCATTTTAGGGGGGGGGGGTCTGGCTTTTTGTGACGACGTGTGACGGAGGGGAGGGGGGGGAGGTAAAAATAGCCAAAAAAAGCGTGACGTCATTTATAGATGACCCCTGTAGTCATAACTGATTTTTGGTTTTATTTTTTTGTAGATCAACTAGCTGCAAAGCCTGTCGGGTGGTCTGTCTATTATTATTTTTTTAATAGAAAAAAGACGTTTCGTTAAATTTTTGTCTTGGTCAGTCCCCGTGGATTGAATTTTATGGAAAAAACATGGGATGACAAACTAATCTAATAATTTTTCATTTAGCTGAGTACCCTTTGATCAATCTTAAAACACTGGTGTGAGGGGGCGCCGCGGGGTGCTCTAGGAAGCCACCGGTTACACTGCAGCAAGGTTTAGTTTTGTCAATGGTTGTAGAAGCCAAACGTGTCCCTAGTGTAAAGGGCTCTTTGAAATTACTGTAGGCTCTAAAGTTCTCTCAGAGGAACTTGCCCCTGTTGAAGTTTGACAGTTGAATCAAGTAGTATCACTAACCCCATGTTCCTGACGCCCAATAAACGGTAGCCGCTGGGAAACTAGGGGCTTCAAACTGTATTCTACTGTCGGAGAACCTATTCGATTTAGTCATTTATTTTAATATCCCTCCGCATCCCAGATGAAGGCGCTCTTTGAAACGAATTAATAAAGTTCGAACCCTCCGGCAGATGAGGCTCGTTAGCTGGGGACAGCCACTCTTCTAGGAGAGACAACTCCAAAATTAAACAACTGCTGCCTTGTAGTTTGTTCTTGGTTGGACAAAGGCTGTGGAAGCAAATCCAAAAAGAAAAGCAGGCTGAACTCGGAGTCAACGTCCTCAATGCGCAAAACCAGTTGACACTTAACCTTAATTGTGATGGAGGCGTGGTCGAGTCGGCTAAAGCTAATGGTAGATAAATTCGAAAAAGTCTCGAGTTCAAACTCTCTGGCAGATAAGGCCCGATCCCCTCCAACACTCAAAATTAAGAACGAAGAAGAAGAAGATGAAACGAATTTAGCAACAATAGTGCTCATTGGTAAGCAATGCGTAGAAGACAAACCGACAGACATGCTTTCATTTTTATTATATAGATGTGTCAGCAAATATACAAATAAGTTTAGTGTCGCATTTAAAAAGTATAAATCAGTAATAAAAGAACACCTGAAAAGTAATACAATTTTAACACATATCCGTATGATAAACAATATAACAATTGAAGCGAAGTAGTTTTGTTAATTAAATAAAATCAACGGACTAACAACCATTTATAAATATAATTAGTTTGAGATGTAAGCTTATGTGAAATATGACAACATACATAAAACGATAATGTGCATCATGAATATTTTTTTAGTTCTGTAAAATATATTTTAACACGTCAACCTAAGGTATATTGCGGGTAAAAAACATTTTAATGTAACACTCAAATTTGTTGAGTGATGTGAAGTTTTCAAAAATGTTTTGATACTTTTTAAATTAAGAGTCATTGCCAATAAGGGGCTTTTAACATATACTTTAATCAATTAACTCGTCAACCATATCAAATAAATAATGATTAGTCTCCTCATATCAATATATCCCGATTATATTTAAAAAATATATATTTAATACTTGAAATCAAAGTTGTTTAAATCATTTAATATATGCTAATGTTATCAACTTCTATTTCTCCAGTTTTTCGCTTTGGGACATAATCGCTGTCTTCACCATCTTCTGGGAAAAACCCATCGCTATCTGCGTCTGAAGAATCGTTGGTAGGTTTATCTTTTTTAACCGTGCTTTTTCGCTTGATACTTTGGTCCGAGGAGACTGAACCGCTCTTCTTTTTCGAGAAACGTTTGAAGAATTTAAAAGATGGGCGCTTGAAACGTCTTTTCTCCTCTTTTGGTTGTTCTTGTTGTCTTTTTATAGCACTGAGATCAGGAGAAACGTATTCGATTTCTATTTTTAAAGAATCGTTGGATGGAGTTTTGGTATTTTCCAAAGGCGATTCTTTTTCGATAGTTGTGGGAAAAGATTCACCCCCAATGGCCCCCTCTTCTGACACAGAAACGCTGCTGGCCAGTTTGTTTCTCAAGGAAGAGAACTTCCTACGCCCTGAAGCCGGATGGTTGCCCCTAATGGCACCAATATCTAAAGATATCCTACGCGATGGGTTTCTCACAGAATCCCCTCGTAAAGATGTTTCGCTGAAAGACTGCCTTGTCATGTTAGGCGGGGAGTATTGTTTATTAGCTGGTGTAGAAGGAAACTGGTCAGTTATCTTACAATCATCAGAAGATGAAAAACTCCCATTCATATTGTGTTTTAAAGAAGAATGCTTCGTTCTGTTGCTATGGTAATCCTCTCTTGCAGTACCATAGTCTACAGAAATACGACGTGTTCTTGGAGTTTTTACTTTTAAAGAATTCTCTCTCACAACAGTTTCGCCAAACGCATGTTGTTTCATATAAGCCTGTCTTGTTGAACTTGTAGTGGAGGAGTGATCAGCCTCATCCTCTGAAGAAGAAGCGCTCCTGAATATTTTGTTTCTCAACGAAGAAAACCTCCCGCGACCTATATGGTGGTGATTGCCCCTGACTGAGCTGTGATCTAACGAAATCCTGCGCATGTGCGGTGGACGGACTGGGTTTCCGAGCACGCAGGTTTCGCTAAATCTTCTGCTGTGCTGTCGTCTGTTGGGTTTTAGCGATTTGATGTCGACTTCACGAATTCTGTGAATGTAGCTGTCTCGTCGCTGATTGGGGAAACGGCTAGGTGGTTCTATTATAATTTCGAAATCTAATCTTCGCGGTCCAGTGTCGATGTTTATATGATGAATGGTGTCGCTCAAACGTCGGGCAAAGCTTCTTCGACCAAAAGAAGAATTGAAGGAACTGGACACTGATGTGCCTTCTGGAACTTGACACACACTCAGGCGGCGGTAGATCTCCTCACAAGATACGTAATCCTCCTGTTTCGGCATCACCATGTCATCATCGCTCCCATCCTCGCAACCGGAAGATTCAATGATGTTTGAAATGACGTCAGGGACGTCTTCTATTGGTCTGGTTAAATCACGTGGCCTCTCAAGACTTCGTGAACTTCCGTGAGCCCCGAAATTTTTGAGGTGCTCTTCCGATGATGATGGGTAAGGGGAAGAACCCTCGTCAGCGCTGCTGGAATCGGTCATGCAATGTGTGCGGTACAGCTTTGTGGCCTTGCTGGCTTGGAGCTGCGGGCCGGCCATGAGTTTGTTGATTTCTAGAGTGTAGCCGGAGTTTTTCCGTCGCCAACCTTTCTGCGCTTCCTTGATGATGTCGGCCAACTCAACATGATTGTAAGACAGTCGGTCCTGTAGAACAAACAAACATTGTTCAATGAGCAATCATCTAAAAAAAAACAACAAACAAACAGGACAGCTATATTTAATCTTTGAATAATGTCCATACAGATTTAGTCAAATATTATCATCGTTACCCCTAGGTGAAGTAAAATGATGTTTGATAATACTTTAATTTTTATACTGTGCTAAAGGCGTTAAGGCCAGCTTGAAACTTACAAGGGCGGACATGAGGGGCGAAATGGGAGAGGCCGGCTGTTCATCAGATGACGAGCTGTAGTTGAAGTCTTGAGCCGTTGGAGGGTAGAAGGATGCAACGGAGTCCCGCTCAACAAACACGACTTTTTCCTTCATCTGAAACCACAACACAAATGATTGAAAGGCAAGTTTAGGCATAATTACCTTTGACATCTGGATTAGGAATTGTTTCATTAAACACAAGATGCTCCAGAATTTTCATATTTGTTACTTCCATTGTTAATTTCAATTTCATGTGGTTGGATTTAAAAGTTTCTATTTTCTCTAGATCTACAGGTTTTACATCTTTTATTGCGCTTTCATGAGCGGATACTCAAATCTATTAAGTTTCGCAGATGCTTACCTTTAATTTAACTCAAAATCTGGTAAAAAAAGATTATTCTTCTAAACAGAATTATTTTTTTTTGACGGTTACAACTCAAGTTTCATACCCGGGTTTTCATCTCCACGACCACATAGAGCAGCAGACCCAGGACTGCGCATGTCATACAGATGATGAGCTTGGTGGACACACAGAAGTAGGTCGAGTTCATGTAGGTCAGGAAGTAGCCCAGGCTACGCCAGGCGTGGAAGTTGGCGAACGCTGGTTCCTTCTGCGACAGGTACTGCATGGTGATCAGGGCTGGGGAAGACACGGTGTGGTGTTATTGTTGTGTGGTTGTTTCTGTGTGGCTGTAATGTGGTATTGCTGTGTGGTTGTTTATTTCTGTGTGGCTGTGATGTGGTATTTCTGTGTGGTTGTGTTATACGTGTGTGCATGTGTTATTTCTGCGTGCTTGTGTTATTTCTGTGTGGCTGTGATGTGGTATTTCTGTGTGGTTGTGTTATACGTGTGTGCATGTGTTATTTCTGTGTGGTTGTGATGTGTTATTTCTGCGTGCTTGTGTTATTTCTGTGTGGCTGTGATGTGGTATTTCTTTGTGGTTGTTTATTTCTGTGTGGCTGTGATGTGGTATTTCTTTGTGCTTGTGTTGTTTCTGCGTGGCTGTGATGTGTTATTTCTGTGTGGTTGTGATGTGTTATTTCTGCGTGTTTGTGTTATTTCTGCGTGGCTGTGACGTGTTATTTATGTGTGGTTGTGATGTGTTATTTCTGTGTGGTTGTGTTATACCTATGTGCTTGTGTTATTTCTGTGTGGCTATGATGTGCTACTCAAGTGTGTTATGATGTGGTGTTGAACTACAAAGTGGAATCTCAATGCTGTATCATGATGTGCATCATACCTTCATAATTTCACCCCAGTCTAGAATAAGGAAACATTCGAACCTCACGGCTACACCCTGTTAATACTGAAGCGGGTGACTCTAATTTTTGCACGTGTATTACTATTAGTAACCGCATTCAGATTTGCTATAACCTAGCGTAACTCACAGTTTGCTTGCGCCAACAGCACGCTCTCTGCCACGCCCCACACCACTGGTACCACAAAGAGCGCGGCCATGTCCGTCTCGTCCGGTGCCCAGAGGTACAGGATGGCCAGGAGGATGATGTGCACGGCTAGCGAGAGCGTGAGCAGCAGGAAGCGGCCCGTCAGCTTGGCCAGGCGTCCGAAGAGGAAGGCGAAGATGGGAGTTGTCGCGCCGTAGGCCGTCATGACGAAACCAACCATGTGGATCCCAATGGCGCATGTCACGTACGACTGTGGAAGACAGCAAGCCTACATAATATTTCTTCTACAAGTGTCTAAAAGTGGACTCTTCCAAAACAGTTTGTTAGTAATAGTGTAATATTAAATTAGGTTCAGAATTAAGATACGGGCAATGTTTAGATTTGGCAGGCTTAGTGTTGACGTAAGCAAAAGAAAGTATATTAGGTAGTAACTTAATACAAGCAAACGAATACACCCGTTATGACACGGTTATGTGTTATTGTCTTAACTTAGTGTATGTAAAGTAAAGTTTCCCTTTTAAACCTGCTCTCTATCGCTAGACCACTCCGTCCCTTACCTTAGTGTAGATGAAATTAAATTACCGTACTTACCTCAGTGTAGGTTCAATTACATTACCGTACTTACCTCAGTGTAGGTTCAATTAAATTATCGTACTTACCTTGGTATAGGTTCCATTAAATTACCCCATTTACCTTACTGTAGGTCTCATTAAATGAAAGTAACTATCTTACTGTAGGTTCCATTAAATTACCGTAATTACCTTAGTGTAGGTTCCATTAAATTACCGTACTTACGTCATTGAAGGTTCTATTAAATTACCGTACTTACCTTATTGTAGGTTTTATTAAATTACCGTAATTACCTTAGTGTAGGTTCCATTAAATTATCGTAATTACCTTAGTGTAGGTTCCATTAAATGACCGTAATTACCTTAGTGTAGGTTCTATTAAATTACCCTAATTACCTTATTGTAGGTTCCATTAAATTACCGTAATTACCTTAATATTGCAGGTTCCATTAAATTACCGTACTTACCCTATTGTAGGTTCTATTAAATTACCGTACTTACCTTAGTGTAGGTTCCATTAAATTACCGTAATTACCTTAGTGTAGGTTCAATTAAATTACCGTAATTACCTTAGTGTATGTTTCATTAAATTACCGTAATTACCTTATTGTAGGTTCTATTAAATTACCATAATTACATAGTGTAGGTTCCATTAAATTACCCTAATTACCTTATTGTATGTTCCATTAAATTGCCGTTATTACCTTAGTCTAGGTTCTATTAAATTACCGTAATTACCTTAGTGTATGTTCCATTAAATACCGTAATTACCTTAGTGTAGGTTCCGATCAAAAAAGCGTTCTCCACTGAGGTGAAGAGGATGAAGGGGATGAGCAGGATCATGTCTGTGGTCACCAGCACCGTGAAACAGGAAGTGACGGTAGAACGGACACTGGTCGTCTTCTTGATCCATTCACTTTTGGGAAGCGAAGGCAAACCGGCGATTACCAGAATCGATCCCGTTAAAGTGCACACCAAATAAAACCCAAGCGTGATGTACAATACTCGATCCTCTGGGTCGAAGATCTGGGAAATCGATTATTTATATTTCAGTTAAAACTTTACATCGTGTTTGTTATTACTTTTGGAAAAGTCGCCACAAAACTATTATAAAACTTTTTGTTTAAATTCTAGGGGCCGTGTGATCGAGGCGGTAAAGTTCATGGTTGCTAAACCGAAGAGAGACAACTCCAAAATCAAACAACTGCTGCTTTGTAGTTTGTTCTTGGCTGGACACAGGCTATTAAAGCAAATCCAAAAAGAAAAGCAGGCTGAAATCTGAGTAAACGGCCTAAATGGCGCATAACCAGTCGACACATATACTTCATTGCATTGGAAGGAAACCATTCCAACACTTAAATTAAGAACGAAGAAGAAAGAAGTTTAAATTCTTTACGATGGGTTGCACATATAGATTGTTGTAAATACCATGTTAGGATTTATATTTCTCTTTGTGCAATAAAATATATAAAATGTTGGCCTACATCGTTTTTGTCCAATGCGATGCAACGCATTCTTACTATTATTTTATTATTTTAAAAATACCTATAAAACTCCACATATATTCGCACTTTTTTTACATTTTAAATTTCAAGACAACCTTACCTGAGTGATATTTTCTCTAAAAGGACAGTCGTTGATGCCACAGTAGTTGTTCTCAGTGCTGTTCTGACCACTGTCCGCTATCCCCCTCCTCCAGCACCAGACTGGTCACCAGGTTGCCGCCGATGTTGGTGGTGGCGAACAGGGCGAAGAAGACGGCGTTGAAGCGGCTGAGGACGGTGTAGGGGGACCTGGAGGACTTCCTCGAGTAGGAGTAGGCGCTGGATGATATGTACAGCGCCTGGGGATACAGGAAGCTGCGTGTCAGTGCTTCTTTCAGACATTTTTCACCCGCGGGGTAAGGTGGGGGGGGGGGGGGGGGGTGGGGGTGGGCACTTGAAATGTTGGGGGGGGGGAGCGGGAGCGGACTTAAATTTCTGGGGGTTAGGGTTAATGTTTATAGGGATAATGTTTAATGAGTATATTTTCTGTATAAAGTATGTTTTATTTCGCCGGGGGGGGGGGGGGGGGGGGGGAGGGGTTTAGACTGTAATATAAAACACTGAAATGCGATAGTCATTTTTATGATATGAACTTAACAGTGAAAAAAGAGTCAGGTTTTGCTCTCAATATGATTAATAATTACATAGTATTGAATATATCTATTTGCTTGAAACACAGGAGTTGCTATCTCTCCCCCCCCCCCCCCCTTCATCTTTAAAGTAAGCTTTTGTAAAATAAAATCTACTGCACAATTGATGCTAAAGATAAAAAGCTTTAAAATAGTATTTTCATTGTAAAAGGTAATGACATTTTCTTACTTGAGCGGTCCATGCCGAGCCATGGAAAGCCCCCACTAAGACGGCCGCCGGGACCATGGTATAGAAGGTGGGGTAGAAGTTGACCAGCACGTACACACAGTGGGCCAAGAAAAAGGCCACCAGCACAGTCTTGGCCCCCAGGTAGCTGATGGTGGCGGGGGCCAAGACGCTGGACAAGATGGCCGTGAAGTAGATGATGGCCAGGCAGGCGAGGCCAAGGCTGTTCTCATCGTGCAGGGAGCTATGGAGGTTCTGGGAGGTCACGTGATACAGGAGTTCAAAGGTTAGATCTAATACAAGCAGTCATGTAAACATTTTAAAATTAAGAATGCGCTGGGACTTTGACCCCATAACTTATGAGTTCAGCTATTCTTACTAGTTTTACCACCCCCTCACAATTTTGCAGTCTGGATGCATTGTAAATTACACAACCAGAGCTATATTTTAAGCGCAATTTCCATACGGACAATTGCGATTGTTAACTCGTCATTTCTGGATGGATGAATGAATGAATGAATGGATGTGTGTCCGCAGCTTTACCGCATTTTTAAGTCGTATCTCCTCCTCTACGAAGCAATATCTAGGACTAGTTCCAAAAGCAAATATGTTAAGCAAGTTCCGAGGATGATTGTGGCCAAAACAAGAAAGTTTTCAAAAATATCCTTTCGTTCGGTCACACATTTTTTAAAAAAATTACATAAACACCTACAAACCGATCGTTCTCCTAGCTTGAACGCACCCCAGCATTATACGTCTTTGTGATCACTATCTATTTTTAGATAACATAAGGAAAATTGCGCTTAAATTGTCACTAGACTTTTTATTAACTTGTTTTATAAACAGAGCTACTATCAGGGCAAAGGATGCGCGAACATCAAAAGTTGAAATTAAATTTCTACGTTTATTGAGCATTGAGTTTTGAAACTTCCACACAGTTTCGACGGAGCGTTAGTTTTACAACTGAATATAATAAATTAAAATTGATTGGTAAATGATTACTATCTTCTCACAATTAAAAAGAAAATTTAACAAAGCAAAAGTGTTCTCCTCATTTGTGTGTGCGCGTGTGTGTGTATGCGTTAATCAAACATGACAGGGACACTTAAGACAGACCCCCCCCACCCCCCCTTAAGCCTTGAATCTTACCAGTAAAGCGTTGAAAGCGGTGAAGAGAACCTGGAAGGAGCATGCGAGGAACGCTGTGCTTTTAATTTCACTGCCCTCAAGCTTAAGACAACCCATGAGTGCCTGTAGGAATGTTTGTTGTACAAGACCGTTTCTCTAAAATAGTTGCATGCTTGTTTCCCTTTACATCCACCGCAGTAGCCTCCCCTGATCTCCCTGATTAATGTCTTGAAATGAAGCTGCTCCTTTCCATTCAGTGATTATTTTCCTAGAAGACGATCATAAACCAAATTTAACACAGACGTTGTAACCAGTGTTTCATTCAGACTTTTTTCTCCGGGGGAGGGGGCATTTGAAATTTTTTGGGGGGGAAGGGCGGTAGACTTTATTCGGGGGGGGGGGGGGGGGAGGGGGGGCGGATACTGTTAAAAGTATATATTTTCAATATAAATTTCATTTCGGTGGGGGGGGGGGGGTAGCCTTTCCTCGGATGGGGGGGGGGGGCTCCGCCCCCACGAAGAGATGCCTGGAAGAAACTCTGGTTGTGACAGAAAATATTAGGCTGTACAGAAAATGTAAAATATGATGTCGAATTTTTACATTTTATGATTTAAAAAAATAAAAGGTAAACCATACAGGTTTACTGAACTTTCCAAATATTTTAAAATTAAACATAGGTTACGTCGTTTATCAATAAATAAATAAACCTTTTGCGCCTCGTGGCGAAATGAACTGACATTCTCCAGGAGAAGAAATGTTTCACAGCTCAAACCTGTAGCTCCCATGATTAGATCTAGGGATGTCACTTAACTATAAGGACCGGGAGACTTGCTATAATGAGCAGTTGAACAACGTCGAGGGAGGGGATGGTAGACTAGTATGAATATGATAAAACCGATTAATCAATCTGTGTTCATTGTCTCTCCTTTGTAATTACTGATGTTAGTAGTGGACTTTCAATTGTAAGTTTTCAGCTGCGTATGTTATGGACAGGCTGATATGATTAGGCTGTAAAATAAGATTCGTTCAAAGATACAGCTACCCTAGGCTAAAGAAATGATAATACGTACATAACCGTAATTCCAATTGATTAGCTGTACATGTATATTTGTATCGTCGCTAACGATATTTTAGTACACGAATTAAGATGTGTGTTGGGGGTATGGTTACTGCTAGGTTAAGGCAAAGCCTTGTAGACATAATCTTAACCGTTTTCATGGGGCATATGAATAAGTTAATCTGTTTCAGGGATCTTGGCATATGCTTTCCATGATGTGAGCTAGGTACCCATAAGAGCTGTGTGAGCTCAGTGGCGTTTTACTGACTTAAACACGGAACTGAACTCGAGACTTTCAGGTTAGCAGCCTAGCTCTCTGTCGCTAGACCACGTCCCCCTCCTTTATACATGATGTAATGTTATGGCTTGTATGTCTGTAGAACTAAACAAGGATTCCTGACAACGATCAAAAACATTAGTCATGTGGCGGATAATAGTTTAGCGAAATATTGTGAAGGATAATAGTCTAATGTGATACGTTTAAGCATAATAGTCTAGTAGAATACTGTAAAGTATAAACGTCTAGTAGAACACTTTAAGTATAAAAGTCTAGTTAAAGCGTAATAGCCTACTAGAATTCTATGAAGTATAATAGTCTAGTGGCTAAATCTAAACATTCGTAAGCGAAATGACACTATTCATTTTTTAGTTAAGTAAACTAGGCAATGGAAACGTCTTGTATAACATAGAGATAAAAGAGCAATATACTTTAGAAAATATACATATATTACGCGATGACAAAGATGAACGGTAACTAGCTGGAATATTTGAAAATTACCTTGAAGTGGAATAGCGTATCCAGACAAAGCACTGTACAAGTCCTAAACGTAAACAGCTTTAGACCAAGGCAGGTTTCTAAGCATCTTAGTATCGAATACACAAACAGAAAATAAATTACGATTAACTCGCAGTAAACACAACATTTATATATACATGGAGCCTAATGTAATTTATGCTCTAGACAGGTATGCTTCATAGATACATTTTTATTTAGTGGGGTAACCGACGGAATCACTAATGTTGATGCAGTAATTTTAGCGTTTCGCATGGCTAAACTCATGTACAAGCTCCCCTCCCCCCCTTCCCCCCACTGCTCCGTTTTCACCAGGTTCTTGGGTCACCCAGTACCCACTATGTAACGAGGGCCATATTGGATTGATGTCTTTTTGTAAGAGTTAACTTTTTCAACAAAAAATCGTACTTGTTCAGTACAAATAACCTTCGGCGGTTCCGTGCTATTTTATTTCCTACACACGATATGGCAGCAATTTATTGTATACATTAGTGCATCTCTTTAGATGAATAAATATGGCTGTTTGAATGAATAAAATGCGGCTCTTTAAATAGTTTATATGTATAGTTTAATTAACAGTAAACGTAATTTTATGATTAAGTATAAAAAAATAATTATGAAACAATTAAACCAAAATAGGTTTAACCAGCAGGTTAACTATCGAACTAACCGAACGGCTCTACACCATATCGTTATTCACGTAGGCCCTATAGGTGTCAAACGGCTTACAGTAATCGGAGTCTACCCTTAAACAATTTCCATTACAAATCCATTTTGAAATATTATCGCTGCTAATCCCGGTTTTGTAAATTGAGCTAAGAAGAGTTTTGATTCTACAACCTTTTACTTCTAGACACGACTTTCAAATGTGGGGTGCCACTGCTCTCAAATGTTGGGTGCCACTGCTCTCAAATTCCAGCCGGGTGCCATTGCTCTCAAATGTTGGTGCCACTGCTCTCAAATGTTGGTGCCACTGCTCTCAAATGTTGGTGCCAGTGCTCTCAAATGTTGGTGCCAGTGCTCTCTCAAATGTTGGTGCCACTGCTCTCAAATGTTGGGTGCCCCTGCTCTCAAATTTTGGGTGCCACTGCTCTCAAATGTTGGGTGCCAGTGCTCTCAAATGTTGGGTGCCACTGCTCTCAAATGTTGGTGCCAGTGCTCTCAAATGTTGGGTGCCACTGCTCTCAAATGTTGGGTGCCAGTGCACTCAAATGTTGGGTGCCAGTGCTCTCAAATGTTGGTGCCAGTGCTCTCTCAAATGTTGGTGCCACTGCTCTCAAATGTTGGGTGCCCCTGCTCTCAAATTTTGGGTGCCACTGCTCTCAAATGTTGGGTGCCAGTGCTCTCAAATGTTGGGTGCCACTGCTCTCAAATGTTGGTGCCAGTGCTCTCAAATGTTGGGTGCCACTGCTCTCAAATGTTGGGTGCCAGTGCACTCAAATGTTGGGTGCCAGTGCTCTCAAATGTTGGTGCCACTGCTCTCAAATGTGGGGTGCCACTGCTCTCAAATTCCAGCCGGGTGCCATATAAATACAAATTCATTTTATGTCACGAAAGCTGATAAGCACAAATATTTCATATCTAAATAAAAAAAGCCCCCCCCCTTTCTTTCACCCCCCCCCCTACAGCATTGAAAACATTTCGTTATAAGACAAAAATATGGCCATATGGTACAGTACTCCTCCCCCTTCCATTAGATTCCCACCCCCATAACACACACCCACGTAATAGGTGTGGATAATTAGTCAAGTACACCCTATAATTAGGTCTAATTTAACTCATCCATTACAAAATACATTACTTTTTCACTCGGTAGCCCCACTTTGCCCTTTAAGGAATTGCTTATTGCATCGCTATTTCCAACTAAATTTTTATAATGTTTTAAGGATTTATGAAATTTGTGTATATTTACATCGCAATTTCCAATTTTAGGATATACATTTTCATGTCTTATTAAAATAAACAAAGACATTTTAATTGCTGTATAAGGTAGAAATCTTCTTACACATCCGAACTGGAATGGACCAGAACTTTTCTCACTACTGCCTAAATGACCAGTGGTCAATGTCCTTGGGCACTACTGTGGTATCACGTGGTGATGAAGTGTTTGTCTTCATCCAACGGTGGCTTCGTAGTTTTAGGTGGTCATATTATTCTTTCAGAACATTACCCCCCCCCCTACATTCCCATCCCCCGTACATTTATTATTTATGTGTTTAAGAATGGTTTCGTATCGTGTTTTTGCCAGTACGGCCTAGCTAGGGTTATTATCAGGGTTATGTCTCACAAACAAAAGTAGCTTTGCTACTAACTGTCCTTGATAAAAGAAATGGTGATTTAATCCCTCAAAACTTTTTTCAGGTAAAATAATTCAAACATCAACCTTCAAGAATTTCACAATGGGTATAATTTTCTATTTTCAGTAGATGAATAGTAATATTACTAACTTGGCCAGAGTTTCTTCCATGCATCTCTTCGGGGGGGGGGGGCGCTCTGCCCCCCGAAGAAATTCTACCGCCCCCTCGAACAAAATGGAATTTGATATAGAACATATATACTTTAAACAGTGTCGTGTCCCCCCCCCCCCCCACCCCACCCCCCACCCCTGAAAATTTCAAGTGCCACCCCGGAGATAAAAAAGCCTGGAATAAACACTGAACTTGGCCGTATAGCCAAAGCACTAACCTTAAACTAATATTATTTTACTATTAACACCACCCTAATATTGGAAGAGTCCACCATTTTGAAATGTAGTAGAAACATATCTACTTATCTACTCAAGAGTTATAGAACCGCTGTGCGCCTAAACCAGCAAGGCTTACTACTAAAGTACAGCGTCTGACGTCACAAGCCACCCAGCCTTTTTACATTCTTTTTTTACAGACACCTTAACATCTAGATCTAGGTCACTGTCTCCGGACTCGTTTACTGAATTTTTCGTCCAGTCGGAGATAGCGAAAGTAATCTTTCGACATAACGAGCATTATAAAATGTGCTGTAATCAAACATGCTAAAACATCAAAACGTATCCAGAATTAAGTTTAAATAAACATTCAGCCATTTAACAAAAAAAAAAAAAAAAAAAAAAAAACGCAGCAAACTACCAAATTCAAAATAAAAAAAAATACCTCTCTAGTGTTAGCAAAATTCAATTAATATAATAATTTGACCCTTGTAACTACCGTAGATTACGTCATTATCCCCCTCCCCCACCCCTACGCACACACACTCAAAAATATTTCGCGCGTTCACTGGAGCGTGAAAATCACTAGCCATGAATGACGTCATTAAGAATTGAACCTGATTTCCCCTTTTGTTGCCACTTGAACCCCTCCACTCCGTTTAATCGGCGCACGCACGGAGTTGTATTAACCCAGTTTAGCAAAACAATGGAAATAATGAAATTTATCTACAAGCTTCTTAAAACTTTCGTCTTCTTAAAAACAAACAACCTGAAAATGTTAACAAGCACACATTAGAAATTGTGAAATTAATCTATACATAAGGCCTTCGTCTTGATCAAACAACTAAAAATCCTGTATCAGTCGTGCGTGTACAGGTATAGATTTATGCCAGGTACAATATAAACATCAGAATCAATGTTTCGATTACAAAAAAAAATTATTCAGGATGTTGTATGTGGGTGGGGGTGGTAAAGACGAATAGCTACGGACTTCATACGTGGATGGGGGTAGGTGGGTGGGATTTATAGAGTTTTAACGGTGGTAGTGTTGAGCTGTTAGGTCAGAAGTGCATCCACCAACTGCAGGTGTAGTCAGGAGTGCATACACCGACTATAGAGAGTGCAGCCACCAGTGCGTGTGACATCACGTATGACACACGTCTGTCGTGTGACGGTCCAACATGAACACGACCAGGGCGATGATGACGGCTGGTTTAACACGTGGCTTCCCAATGTGTCGTTAGGCAACACCGATAATACTCGAAGAAACGTGTGTTCAGAAACTTTGAGAACATTGTTTTCTTACAGGTAAAGGTTACTCTCCACCCCATTCACTTGTCGGAGTGTTAACAGGTCATTTTTATTTCATACCTAAGGTGGGTTGTCAGGTAGGGTTGTCAGGTGGGGTTGTCAAATAGGGGTTGTCAAGTTAGGTTGTCAGTTGGTATTGTCAGCCCA